GGGACCTTCTCGGAACTCAACTCACCCTATTCACCCGTTTGTCGGGCTGGCCGGAGACAAACAGTGACTCACCCACTGTCGCAGTCCCACAGATCTGTCATTTTTTATTGTTTTAAGTTAAAATAAATATTTCTTTATGAATTTGAGTTCTACATGAAATTCCAAAAATAATGAGCCCAAACACAAAGTGGATACTTAATATCTACGATCTGAAAGTATTACAATTACTCTGTATCGTCACCAGCTTTGTCCGACTTTCAGATCGTAGATATTAAGTATCGACCTCGTGTTTGGACTCATTATTTTTGGAATTTCACGTAGAACTCAAATATACAAAGAACAATTTATTTTTTCTTAAAATAAAAAAAGTTACAGATCTATGGGAATTGTGACAGTTAGTAGAGTGGGTCTGAAGGGTAAGGCGAGTTCCGAGAAGGTTCCTAATCCGCTGGGTATCATAGCCAAACGGACGGACTATGACTATATGCAGTTCTTCAAGGCCAAACTATCCCCATTACAAGCATTTTTTTTCCTAGGACGCTAGGCACAAGCCTGGGATTGTTTTACACATTACTTCAGGCTAGACCTAGAGTTTGCGGCATTATGACTTAGATAAAATAAATTGGTGACTTGGCGGGGATCTACCCCGGGACCTCAGGGACTCAAGTCCCGCGCACTAACCACTACGCCAGCTCGCTCCCCACATTATAAGCATTAGATTTACTACCTATATTTACTTTATTATTTGATCTAAATAATAGTCTTTATAATAATAAGTCTTTTAGACACAACAAAAATTGTATTTGTAAATTTCACTAAGTTTGGAGCAAGGTAACGTACGATTATGTTAATACATACTTAAATTAATTATGAAGTTTGAGAAACCTTGTTATTACAAATCTATAATATAAAGTTGTCTGAACAACTTCCTGTACATAGGCTATACTTGATTATTACAAATTTTAATGTAAAAACTGAAGATATTCTGATTGGTATTGATACTTACTCTGCTGCTGGACTTCTCTGTATACTTTATTCCAAGCTGAAAAAAATAAAAGCTTAATATTATTTACCTTCTACCATTAAAGACTTCTATACAATCTCTTATTAAAGGAGAATCAATTTCCACAATTATTTTATAACATCGAATTTACATTTTGTAATTACAATATACAAGAAGGGTGAGGTTCATTTGTCCGAGTTTTAAGTTGCCAGAGTTTTCAGTTGTCCGAGTTTGTTATAAATTACAAAATATTAGGAACATAAGTTGTCTAAGGTTTTAAATTATTAAAAAAAAAGTTGAAATATCATTTGTCCAAGTTTTCAACTGTCCTAGTATCATCAGTGCCAAAAGTGACACTGCCGCCGAAGCGCTAGTACAGTCTGCACAAGAAGTATTATTACTTCTTATGACCTACACCGTGCTCGCCGTCAAATACATTACCCCAGAATAGCTAGGTAACCTAACCTAACCTAACCCGATAATTAAGTGAGAAACTAAAGTTGAACTTGAAGAAATGCCGCATTGGCGCAATGACGGTGCGTTTGGGGGGGGGGTTAGATTTGGTAGTGGCGCTTTGCCAATGTCTACCTGGCCCTAGTGGCGCAATCCCGGTGGACCGAACCTAACATAACTGTCCGTTCGACAGCGAACGCGGTGTCAGTCTAATTACTTCTTGCGCGGACTGTTCTTGCCTTCGGCTGCGGTCTCACTTTTGATACTCGGACTATCATGGGCCTTGCACTCCAGCTAAGCCACACATTAGCAAGCTCAATATGGGCTGCACATTCGCAGCATTTGCTGGATTCAAACCCGCGTATGCAGAAAGACCTCAATGCTACACTTCTCAGTGCAACGCCTTAGCCAACTGAGCTACCATACCATCATGGGCCAATAGGTAGATTGTCACTATAAGCACACATAGGTTAGATTCGACGTACTACTTGAGGACAAGTGGTTAGCATTACAACTATCTTATGGCAAAATTCATACTAAAGTAAGTCGTCGTTAATGGGTTTTCAAAGTTGAAAAACAAGAATACCTTATCCTCCCTTTATTTTCCCCGGTCAAGGTACGACAACTAGTATCACATGCAATCTTCTGCAAAATGGAGTTAAACAAAAGACAACTAGGAACAACTCCCCGCCACCTGTAATCCATTGTTTAACTTAAAACACTTACAGTCACAGATGTATTTGATGAGGTCTTCGTGCTGGGAATGAGGTATGTCTCTGGACCTCTGAGGCGGAGGACCACGCTTACCATTCATGGCGTGCATCCTGTAAAAGACACAACATGTGGCTTAGTTTAGCACAGTTCTTTTAATGTGCTTCAGCAGTACATTTGATGATTAACTTACGTCTAGGTTGAATTAGCAAAGGATATTTTAGAGCTAATTCGGTAAAAGTTCAACCAATTAAAATAAAAAACTCTGCATTGGCCTAACTTTTGTAAATGCCATATTAGGTTATCTAAAAATGGTTACTAAGAGAGGTAGTATAAGTTAGTAGGATGAAAACCAAACAATTACTGACCATAAATGAGTAGGCCTATAGATTATAGGCTACTTGTAGTTTGTTAGTATCTAAATAGCCTACCCCTTATGGCATTGGCATGCCCATCAAATCATAGGCAAAGAGAATAAACTTTAGGGCCTACCTAATTGAACTTGAGTGAACCAAGCACTTTGATAAACATTGTTCAGACAGAACTTCGATAAACGACTCCACTGGTTGAATTGATAAGGTTTTTTTCTACAGTTAACGATCTTGGAGATATTCACAGTTAGGTACAATTTATGCCTAATAAATTGGATTTAAAACTACTGAGTAGCCTACTGAGTGGGGCAATGAGAGCACCCCAATATTCTTTTCCGTCACATGATAAGTTCACATGAGAACGAATGAACAGCTGTGTTTATAACATCAATTAAACTAATGTCATTATAGTAAACATTGTGCTACATTATGGGGTTATTAACACTGTGATTTTGCTGTGGAAACCTATTTAAAAAATAGTGATTCTTATGCTAACACCCAGAGGTGATGGACCAAGGACATTCCAAGGAGATGATGGTGATGGACATTCCATCCTTGGTCGACACGGCGCTGTTCCAGATTGGAAAACTATAGGAAACAGGGTAAAACTATTTAGGATTTAACAGCTTAAACCTTGAAAAAATTAATCGGTGGAAGCCGAAAAACCCTTCGTACACCAGCAAATGTTAAAAGAGTGTGAGTCACAGTAAGTACCGGTAACTAACATAAAAGTCCAAAGAGGTTTGTCAGGAAACTTTCAAATTTTTAAACCTTGGTTATTTTCTTTCTTTTGGGACTCACTCTAACTAATTAAAGGTCAAGGTTTTTCAAAGTCCCCCTTAGACATTTTCTTGAACTGAAGCTAAGTAGCCTAAGTATTGTCCAGGAAATTAATGTTAATTACTTACTCCTGAAGAAATGCTGGAACGACTAAGTTATTGGATGGAATTTTCATGGGACCAAAAAGGAATGACAAGAAGAACAAGGACATTGATTTCAAGAAATGGAATAACTTATGACTTAAGCTTGAGTTACATTAAAGTTAACTTTTCTCGTCCCTTTTTTATGACCACGTTCGTTTCCGGTATATGACCTTAAAACTGTCGTGAGTGTGAAAGAGTCCTTTATCTCGTGATTTATCTTACTATGTTACGCGGCCGTATTTTCCCACAAAAAAGGGCCAGCAATCGATCTTTTAACGTGGTTTTTTTTCCATTTTACACTCCTTTTGTATGGCCAAAATTCATTCCTGGTACAGTATAGGTCTATATGACCTAGATACTGTCGTGTGTGTGAACATGTCTATTAACTTATTACATGACTAAGTTAACTTATCTGGGTAATTCCGCTGCACGGCCATATTTTTCTGCAAACTTATCAGCAATAGATTTTTACAAGCACACACACTATTTATTGCTGAGTAATGCCAAGTTCAAACCATTCATCTAAGCCTAAGCTGTGTTTTGGTTACGGAGTTTACATATTTAACTTATTTTAATGCAACACAACGGAGGGTGAAACAAAAACAAAATACTGACCATAGGCTAAATAACTTAAGTTAGATATGGATTATACTTTGTGGTATCTTAATGCCCCTTATAACTAGCAGTGGGCCCTAAAAGAACTATGCCTAACTGACTTAAACCCTTGTAACTTAGGCCTACTTATTTATATTTGATAGATTACAAGGGCAAATTTTAAATGTTAGCTTAACTTAATATACAGAAACAGCTGGCCTATCATACATTTAAGTGTAGTTATTTCAAGCAAATTTAACATTATAATTCAAAAAAAGTTTAGAGGACCACTATTGTGGAGTTCATAGGCTAGGCCTAAGATATTACATCCCAAAGAACAACAAAGCCATAACTTAATTGTCAACTGGAGATAAAATTTATGACTTACCTATCCATTCCCTGGTCGTTTCTACTCATTATCAATGCTAACAGAAAACGATCACTTTTTTAATAATAATTATTGTAGTCTTTAAAATTTAATCCGAAAGTCAGGCTAATGTTAGATTAATTTGACAACTCAACTGCAGTCCTGGACTGCAGGCAGGTTAGCAGGTTGGTATTTTGTTCTGGTCTGCTGAGTGGTCTAGGCTTGGAGCTGGAGGATGGAATCTGGATTTAGATGTTGATTTGTTGAGTTTTGGTGGGAGGGGGGAATATGTCTTACATCCAGGAAAGCAGAAACTCGTTTTTTAGCCAAGCAAACTAATGGTTTCATGGGGGTTTTTGTTTTGTTATAACAAAAAACTGAAATGAATTTATTATTATTATAGTAAAGGAAATTGTATAAAACATGTGAATGTCCAGAATGTTTCCATTTGTTATTTTTTTATACAAGCTACTTAGAGTAATCAGTTGCGTTTTGTTACTCTATGCTTGACTGACGGCTGCAAAGACAGTAGTACCAACATATAAACTTCATAAAACTGTCACTTTGCTAAAAAACAACAGAGTACTCGACTACTGTGGTAAATACAAGACCCCTTGTCAAGCCGATTAAAGGTGTGGTTAGTCATCTTTTGAAGTGAAATAATTTTATCAGAACACCAATGTCTGAAAAGCATAGTTTTTTCTTGTATCCCATTACTTGCCACGCGTGGAACAAAGATAGAACTCGTAAGTTTTGAAGTATTTCATTATCAAAAGTAGCGTAGACGGTGTGAGACACTCCTAGGCTAGTCATTCACTAGGCATATTCATGTTCCTGTCGTATCAGCCTGCTGAAATATTTTTGCACATCATTTTTAACAATGTATTAGTCTATTAGTCATATTTGCTAAATTTTGACTTGGTCTTAGGAAAATTGATATTTTTCCCCTTAAATAAGCCTTTCCTAAATTTCATTTAGATTTACAGTGTTTTAAACTTGATAGATGTGTAAAGGCTTGAATATTATTAAGCTATAATTTTCTAAATTCCACACTAAATAACTTTTCAAGTTTTCGTTTGAGGTTATGTTAGGTTAGAATAGCTACCTACTTAGTTATTTTGTTCGCAGAGGGTACGCATCCGGAAACCGGACGTAGATTAGGCGTCCGGCAGTTACTGACATAACCTAACCTAACCAACCAAATTTGCTGATAGGCTAATGAAAAAATCGAATGAAGGTTAAATTCAGCCGAGCACTCTATCCACTACCACCACGAACACCGATGGCTGTACATCGTATCATTGTGGCAATGGCGTTCCGAGCCCCCACAACCCGGGGACAAGTATTGCAAGCAAATACTGCAAGAAACACCCATAAAATAGAGAATTGCAGAATTAACTTTTCTTTATCCTGAGACCTACTGTAGCTTATACTTTTTGTTATCAAAAGCCTCCAGTTACCGTATATGATAGGTACTGGTAGTTTATTTATTTGTTAGCTATTAAACCTGTTTGGATTGGGGTATAAGGGTATGATTGTATTTTAAATATAGCCTACCTTGTTTGATGCAGAAATTGCCCTTTCTCCAAACAACCATGAGGTCCATATTTATCAGCGTAATGGAAACGACTGGATACTCCTTGATGTGCTCAATCAACACGATCTTAGAGTGACTGGCATCGATTGGGCTCCTAACTCCAACAGAATCGTCACCTGTTCAGCGGTAAGCTGTAGGCCTACCATGAAATTCTGACCAATAAGTTGGATTTCGTCTAGTGCATGCTGTTCCACCTAAGTCTATTTTAAAACTAACCGTGTGTTACAGGCCATGGTAGTGATGAAACGAGTCGAATACTTTCCCGACTCGATACCGCAACTACTCAAGTCGGTACCCGAGTACTGGACTCGATTCTTACCTATATAGTACCGAAGCTCTGTTGACTCGTAGCTGAGAATTTTGGAAATATTTTTATTGATTCAAGTCCCTTTACTCGAGTCAGAAGTCAGACAGACTTGGTTCGGACTCGTTTTGTACTCTGTCTGTCTGTGTAGATTTAAGATGAGAGCGAGATCGGTTATTCATCTCACATTGAGTTAATAATTAATTATGGATTTTATTGGTTATTATAAAACTTTGTTGGATTAACAAAAGAGATTTAATATTAATAATAAACAGTATCCTGACTTAAAGCCATTGACTCGAGCGCTATGTACTCGTAGCGGATGGTTTTGAAACTATATAATATAGGCTATCTTGAACAGTCAACAACAGTGTAGTATTATAAACTGTCAAGCACACAAGCGCTGTCGACTCGTAGTGGCAAAATCTGGAACAACATTAAGTCTCGACTCAAGTAGACGATTATTAAATGCACCCAACCCAAGCGCTATGGACTCGTAGCGGCAAATCTAGTAAGCTTTAGTTCACGAGTAATAGTACTTGAGTATCGCCGATTTGGTATCGAGTCGCAAGTACTCGACTCGTCACATCACTAATCCATGGTCTTAGTCATGGTAAGGCTAGTGTACAAATGTTTTTATCTATCCAATTAATTTTTCTATCTGTAAATACCCCCGCCGCAGCAAACCTGCAGACTTAGCGAATTTCCATCTGCCTGATTGGATTTAAACTAAAATGTCTCCTTAAAAATATCATATTTATTCCCTATTTAAACAGAATTAGGCCTAGTTTAATGAGTACTTAGGTTTGCTGCAACAGGGAGGGTAAACAAGTTTTTTTAAATGTAAAATATTAAAAGGTACTGTGGTTTGGTAAGAAATTAATGTATTTTCCAAATTTGATCATATAACAAAAGAATAACATGGGAATTTTAAAATTACAATTTTTTTAATTTTCTCCGTAACAATTAGGCGCATAATAACGCTTCAATATACTAAATTATTTGTTTTTTTAAGCTCTACAAAATGGTTTGAAAAGAAATTGTGAAATTTTGTGTTTTTAGGATCAAAATGAGAAAAACCTATTTTTTCCCCATAAAACCCCCCATAAACCCCTGTTCCCATAGTCCTATCATGCTGGTTCGCGAACTCATTCAAGTTTATCCGCCTTACACCTTCAAACCAAATTTTATCAAAATCGGACAAAAATTACTCAAGTTATCGTGCGGATGGACACACATATATATATATACTATCTGTAACCCGCGGGCTTTGCCCCGTTTAACTTCTTAATTTTCAAGATTATCTCGTTCGCATGGCTCAATCACGTCCTGGTTGAAGTTTGTTCGCTACGCTCACTCACCTTTAGGTTGGGGCTCGTTCGCTACGCTCACTCACCTTTGGGTTGGAGCTCGTTCGCTACGCTCACTCACCTTTAGGTTGGAGCTCGTTCGCTGCGCTCACTTGCCTTCAGGTTAGCTCATTCGCTACGCTAACTCGCCTCCAGGTTGAAGCATAATACAAATTTGAACGAATGGTGTTTTTGGCCTCTGGGGACATCAAAATGAAAAAGTAAATCAGTCCCGGGCTTAGGTCTTACCATGAGACCTACGGTAATAGCTACTTCCCTATAGGGAAATTCGCTAAAACACAATATTTTACAGGACCGCAATGCCTATGTTTGGACCCTTAGTGACGATGGTAAATGGAAACCAACTCTAGTGTTACTGAGAATCATCAGGGCTGCCACCTGCGTCAAGTGGTCGCCCAAAGGTGAGTAAACAATTATTTTACCATTCCGCTTAGGCTGACTCAAATTAATATTTCTTTTTTGTCCTTTGAACTCAAGAAATTAGAGACTATTCATTAGGTATGCCTATTTGCACTTGTTTTTCCATTATCTTACGAACACAAACAAGTTCATCCAAAATATTGTTTGTATAAGGTTTTTGGTAGCTTATAAGCCTACACATAGCAAGATGGTAAGTATACACAAGTTAAAATGTTACAAAACCCCTGATTAAAGGCCTATCTCACATAGAATTTACTACTGTCATTTTTCTCCTGAGTCATAAACCGGTTATTTTAGGAGAGTTTCTCTCACATACAGTTTATCTTTTATGAGTTCATGGCCAAACTTTGGAGTGGGTAGGTAATTTCCCAAATGTGTAAACATTTATCCTCAAACTAATCATACATGTGTTAATATCATAATCATATAGTTTTTGTCCAAACAGAAAACAAGTTTGCTGTCGGCTCAGGAGCAAAACTTATCTCTGTTTGTTACTTTGAGGGGGAGAATGATTGGTGGGTGTCAAAACACATCAAGAAACCAATCAAATCTACTGTAACGGCTCTCGACTGGCATCCCAACAATTATCTACTTGTGGTTGGCTCCACTGATTTTAAGGTGAACCACTTATAAAACCAAAGAAGAAACATTCTTCTTTTATTTTTTTCATTTTATTTATTTATTATCATCACGTTACATCAATGATTGACAGGTGATTTGTCATCAAACTAAAATCTATTGTAAAAATTGTCTTGGTGCTTAAACCAAGAAGAATGTTGATGTACCCATTGTTCTTAAATGGAGAGTTATGAGGTTGTAACAAAAGTTTGACAAAAATGTTGAAATTAGGCTGTTAACCTAATTATAAATAACACCACAGCTGCTAATTTTTATTATTTTTGTCTCAACTCTACATTGTCGGACCCTAGGCTCTACCACATTACATTTACCAGGCTAAGCCTACAGGGTCGCGGTATTATCTCTTACTTAAAATACACAGTGATTGGCAGGATCACCCGAGACCTCAGGATCAAAGTCCTGCACTCTATTACTGGACCAGCTCGCTCCTAGATATACATTACAGTAGACTCCTGGTCATTGGTGGGCCAATAAAGAAATTTGAACTATCAAGAAATTCAATTTATTGGGAGAAAAATAAACTAGGCCTATTCAAATCACAAAGAGTTTTTTTTTCTTAATAACTGTACGAGGTGTTAGCCCGTCCTACGTACGGGAATTCAGTAGTCAGTTAAAACCATGTACAATTCAGATCAGCTAGTTTACACAAATAAAGGCAAAGTTTCTTGCAGTTTTAATGTGAAAAATCATCTTGTAAACAAATGTTGTGTGACCAAATATGTTTTTATTCCATCTTACGCCTATACGATATGCATTTTAAATCCGATAATTTTACAACAAAACAGCAATTCTGCAATTTTTACGATGTGAAAAGCGTTGAAGTGATATTTGCAGCCGATTCGCACAGACGCACACGTAATAAGTAATAAGTAGCTGATTAGTAGTGAGAGAGTATAAGTCAGTTGAGAAGTGTATAGACCTAGTCAACGATACCACCTTCAATAGCATACCTGCCTCTTCCATAATTATTACCACCAAAATACAACTACTATACACAATTTGTATAGTAGTTGTATACTTATAGTAAGTATACATAACATAATTATATTATAAGTATATTATACATAAGTATATTATAACACTTATAGTAGTCTATTTACAAAAAAATTGTTTGCTTTTTGCTGATTCTTGCGTCATTGATGACATTATAACAACTACTGTGCTAACAAGGATGTACAGTTTCCTGTTATGTAGTTATGTCATGAAGGAATCTCCCTTTGAGTTTTGAGTGTTTAGCCGACGAAACTTTGAATTACTGCATGTTCCAAATCGGCCTGCCCTCTGCTTGACTCCGAAATACTAAGTGTATAAAAATTACATGGTAAAACTTTGAAATGGCAAGAGATTCTCTACGCACTGAGCTTTTATTTTTAGTTATTGTAAGTTTTGATTTATTGAGTGTTTTTAAGTAGACTGTACTGCATACCTGGGTTCATAGGTATGAACATAATTCTTGTAATAGTTCAGTAAATATTTACTGTACTATTACAAGAATTATGTTTGTGACTACTTTATTTGTTGCGTTGTTGTTTTTACCAAGTTATAAACTCTCAACTTCAAATAATGTGTTTGTGTAATTGTTGTAAAAACTATAAGATATTTTTCTTAGGTCAAGTTCTACAGCCACTTTTGGGCCCTCAATGTTCATGTGGAGTACCCTAGGTACTGTTATCACATTGTCATGCTAAGGGTGTGAATTGTGAAGTACACTATCATATCGACTCAATGCAGTAGCCAACTCTGTACGATTTGCCCTGATTGAAAAAATCACAAATTGTCCATCCTCCACATTTATCTTAGCCTATAATTCGCTTGTCGACAGGTTAGAGTGTACTCTGCGTATGTGAAGGATATCGACGAGTCTCCCCCCGCCACCCCTTGGGGTAAAACTGCGGCCATTGGTCAGATGCTAGCCGAGTTCCAGAACTCTAGTTTTGGTGGTGAGTTTTTTTTTTTTTAATTATTGGTCTGTGCTTATAGATATTTTATTAACATTTCAAGCACTATGCTTCTACATTCTTGTGTTTGTAAAATAAATAAAAAATAATTAGTTTATGTTGTAGACCTACGACGGCGTAGAAGGGCCATGGAGTAACATTTTTTGTGTGTAAAATTCTGACTTTAATCTCAACCAGTAAGTAGACTTAAGTACAACCAACCGAGACAGTATGACCAACATAACGGCACAAGCGGCGATCTTGGATGGGACGCTTTTCTCTTATGTTCAACCAGAGAGTAGTGACTCCAGTCTATCTATTCATCTCTATGGTTATAGTAGCCTACTTACAGAGTTTGGTGGTACCTAATTTAACACTCAAAACCAGATGATTTAAACAGGAATTGAGCTCCAGTTGTAAAAGCGCTTGCAATAAATACAAGTCAACATTTTGATATTTTAGGTCAAAACTTTGAGAATAAAAGTCAAAATTTTGAGATTAAGAGTCAAAATTTTGAGATTAAAAGTCAAAATTTTCTACAAAAAAAATGTTACTCCATGGCCCTTCTACGCCGTCGTATAGACCTGACTTTTCTTCCCCATAGAATTATACTATAAAGCCACACCTTAAATGAGATAGCCCACCTAATTAAATGGAGTGGGTTTAAAATTATATCCTCACTCTATAGCAATAGCTAAACCATCAGCTTGGTTCAAAAAGAGTTTTATTCCTATTACACTATTGATATTGATTCCTTTTTCAGGCAAAGTTAGTACTTGTGTCTTCAATCTTTTAACCAAACTAATCAATAGACATGAAAATAAAACAATAAATTTAATTTAAGATGTTAAAAAACTTTTACTTTCTCCCCCTAAACATATTGTATAAAGAAAGTATTGTTTTCATAAAAAAAATTTATTTGAAGTAGTAGTTTTCAAAGCTATGTCTGTATGTGTGTGTGTGGATGTGTACAAAGGCTACAGACCACACCTTTTATTTTCATGTGTTGAAATTTGGATTTGTAATAGTGATTTTCTACTACAGAATGTGTCATATTGCTGATACCGTTTATTCAAGTAGCGAAGGCTATACAATTTCCTTTATTGTTGTCTAGGAGGATGGATCCATAGTGTAAGTTTCTCTGGTTGTGGCACCAGAGTGTGCTGGGTCTCGCACGATGCTTCAGTGTGTGTGGCCGATGCTAACCGCAACAATGCCGTGTCCAAACTGCGGACAGATCATCTGCCGTTCCTCTCCTGCGTCTGGGTCGGGTCCAACACCATTGTGGCTGCGGTAAGAACCTTGAGTGTACAAATTAAGGGTCTTCTGTCCAAGTTGGAACTCATAGGTTGCTTTTCAAGGTAGCCTATAGACTTACCTCTTTCTTGAGGCATCTTGTTTGCGTCAAATCAAATGTTTCATTTTAATAATGATTACTTTGATTCTAGTCTGTTAACACTAATCATGCAATCGTTTGTATAATCTCTCGATAATAATTTTACCGACTGCCCAAAACCTTAATTTCATTTTTCATTGAACTAAATACATTTTTAACTTTTACTTGCACTAAATATTGTGATAACCCTTCTGATATTGACTTTCTGGTGACTCATATTTTTTGTAAAAGAAATAGGCTTACTTCCGAATTTTGTTTTCTTCAAGACTCTTTTTATTGTTTCCAGGGTCATGGATGCTGTCCTATGATTTATTTAGTTGACGAATCAGGACATGTACAACATGGAGGGAAGCTGGATATGTCGACAAAGAAAGAATCAACTGGTCTCAGGTACATTGTCTCTCATAATCACTAAAGAACTTAATGAATAGTCCAAGTACTGTAATGAAATCAATACTGAATTTGAAATCCTACTTGTCTTGGCGTTCAAGACTGATTGCAACCTTTAAAAATCCAAATGTACCCAAGAAATTATAACAATATGCGTACAGTTGACCAAATGTCAGTAACATTAATGCATTCAAGTCACATGTTACTGACTTGTTTCCTGACTGATTTTTTTTGTTTAAATAGTGCCAGTTTTGTAACTGCCGTTCTACTTCTTCCTTCTGAAGAAACCCTTGTTAGGGCGAAATATTAACTTTATTGTGTTGTGAACTTTCTTTATACTTCCAACTTAAACTACCTGGAACTCTTTTCTTGAGTTAACTTATTCGGCTAGGTTTGGGTCAGCTAAGAAATGTAGCCACTGGCCTCAGTTTTGGGCACATTTTCCCTACATTTCAATAATGTTTGGTTATGTTTTCAGTGCGATGAAAAAGTTTCAAAGCTTCGACAGGAATGCGAGGTCGGAGAATGTGGACACAGTTCTAGACACGATACACCAGAACGCCATCACATGTGTGTGCATTTACCAAGGCGTGAAGGGGAACGCAACCAAAGTGTCCACCAGTGGCAATGACGGACAACTGGTTATTTGGGATCTTCAGGTAATAATCGCCACCAGTTCGTAACTTATACCTAAATCGAATCTTTGCTGTCGTAGAATACATCATGATAAACAAGGATTCAAAATCTCTGTTGTATATTAAATAATTTGCCATACGCTTTACGTTTTATCTCAGAGATGCTGTAAAGTCCTAGTGATGTTTAGGTTTAGGAGCTTTTCAAGGAACTTTTACTTTGATTCTGAAGTAGACATCTCATATATTCCAATTATAGACTAGCTGTCCAAAATGTTAAATAGAACAAACCACTTACAGATTGTAATACTTGTTAAAAAAATACTATTTAATTTTCCTTTCAGTTTTGCAATTACAGAGAATAAAAAAGCCGTAAAAACCTTTTTCCTGGTATTTACTTATCATACCGACCACACCAATAAATCGACTTCCAAATAACAATTTTAAATAACAAAATCTTCCTAACCTAACTTAACCACACTAAGGTTAGTTGGATTAGGTTAATTGGTGTTGTCGGTATAATATATAAGTACCTTTTTCCTTTGTGGTCTATGTTAGAGGTCTACCCAGACCTCACAAGTGCTTCCAAAATGTTCCTTTTAGCGAATTTCCCATATAGGGAATAAGCTATTACCGTAGTACTCATGGTAAGACCTGGACGCGGGACCGATTTTTTTTTTCGTTTTGAGGTCCCTAGAGGCCAAAAACACCATCCGTTCAAATTCATATATATATATATATATATATTTATATATTTATATATATATTTGTTAAGAAAACTGTAGTGATTAGGGCTACTATTTTGATATATAAAAGCATTATTAAAAACTAAGTACCCTTTTTTTAATTCATTTTATTTAACAACGACGATTATGCCATAGTCATGTTGTTTTTATATCTAACAAAATCTGATTTTAATAAAAAATGATTTTGTTAGATATAAAAACAACATGACTATGGCATAATCGTCGTTGTTAAATAAAATGAATTAAAAAAAAGGGTACTTAGTTTTTAATAATGTTTTTATATATATGTGTCCGTCAGCACGATAACTCGAGCAAAAATGATCCGATTTTGATGAAATTTTGTACAAACGTGTAAACCTACGTTTATTCGAACGAATTCGCGATCCAGCATGATCGGACCATGGGAACGGATGTTTACGGGGGGTTTTATGGGGTAAAAATAGGTTTTTCCCATTTTTGACCCAAAAAACATAAAATTTAGCAATTTATTTCCAAACCATTTTGTAGAGCTTCAAAAAACAAATAATTTAGTATATTGAAGCGTTATTATGCGCCTAATGGTTACGGAGAAAATTCCAAAAAATTGTAAATTTAAAATTCCCATGTTATTCTTATGGAGAATGAGTAAACTGTTGTAGTTTGCTTGTTTATGAACATATTTTGATCAAATTTGGAAAATGTTTTTATTTCTTACTAACTATTAACATTTTACAAAAAAAAAAACAGTTTTACCCTCCCTGATGCAGCAAACCTAAGTACTTGTTAAACTAATTCTATTTAAATCGGGAATAGATGTTATATTTTTAAGTAGACATTTCAGTGTAAATCCAATCAGTCAAATGGAAATTCGCTTAGTCTGCAGGTTTGCTGCGGCGGGGGTATTTATATTTGGTGGTCGATTAAATAAAAAAAATCTAAAACCAAAAGATGGCATATTTACAGATATTAATATAACATGCCTACATTATTTAACTCAATATTGATATTTTGTTTCAGTCTATGGAAGGAGGGATGCAAGGACTGAAAATCGCATAAGTATAATTATAAGTTAAGCTTTACAATTAATTTTTCAATTCTGAAGTCTGTAGGCATATTATTATATTTTTCTGAACATTGGTTTAAAACCTGAGTACCGGTATGATAAAATAATTAAAGCTAAAAGTTAAGTTTTACTTCACATGTTTCATGATGGAATTTTTAATTTTCACTCACCACATCAGTTAAATAAATCTCATTCTGGCAAAACTAATTGCAATTTTTCAACTCAAAAATTAAAAATTCTGTTTTAGTTAGCAAATAAATTATTAACATAGATTAAATAAAAGTATACGAAAAATTTTATTAAATTTGAGTGTTTTATCTTAGTTGTTAAGAAAAATCACCCATCACTCTATACTACAAAAAGTATGTTGCCTAGGCATAGAGAAAATCCAACTTAATTATTTGTTTAGTAAAAAGGAAGTCAATAATCTTTCTTTGATTTTTTATTCAATAAGACTGGAAAAGAAATTTAGGATTCAGAATTGAAATTTGCATTTTTACAAAGAGCATTTTTATACTAAATATTATTTTTGTTTGAAAATATTGTATTTTAATCATTGTTATAGTTATAATTTAGTATTGTATTATTTACACAATAAATAATTGATTTTATTGTGCATGTTTTTCTCATTTTCCCACAATTTGCCCAAGTGATTATACAGTAAGACTACATCTTGAATTAGATTGTTTCTTATTCCTTTACAAAATCTAAAAAGCGTAATGTCTGATACGCCGATACTCTGATATAAACTGGTCACAAATTTAGGTTCAATATAAAAGATTGTGTTGCATAGTAAGAAATAGTCACTTAGCCAGTCTTCGTGGGGTTTTTAAAAACTTAAATCCAAGAAACACTTAGTTGATAATTCAAACAAAATACCAAGTGACAATTTACAACTAAAATAAACAATAACACTTAAAAGTTACCTACTTTCAATTCAAAACAAACAATAGTGTTTGAATCAAAAATGTAACTTTTTTGTTTAGTCACTGAAAAAAAAAATCAAAAACATCAGTTGACCACTAGTGACAGTGAACCAACTAGATCAAAGTAAATCGACGATTGATAATTAATTTAATGCATTCAGACTGAACTGGTGCATTAACCAGCCCATAAGTCCACAGCATTTTTGTGTACTAAATGAAATATGAATAGTCACTTAGCGGCGCTCGTACTGAGGCTGATAACATCGCTGTACCACTAAGGGTTATAATGCGGAACTCTGATGGTTATCTTCAATTTTTGTGAAACAACAATACCGGAATCAAGAAAACACATTGCTTTTAACATAAACAGTTTATTATATAAAAATAGCCGTTGCTAGAGGGGCCACTGTAGCTCAATACTCTGCAACAAAACAACATAAAATACTCACTGATGTATAATATAGTCACATCTATACATAAGAGAACATACAAAAAAAACATGCAGTATTTCTTAGACAATTTAAAAATATACGTTGATGATAGTATAGTGTATATAAAAGTAACCAAATTCAAATTACAATTTTATCTTTATGGTATCTTGTGACCAACATCTAAAGCCAAATTTGTAATGAACTTGCTCCTTGTTACTATCAGTAAGTAATTTTTTATTTACATTAATTTTTGTAGATGTTTAATTTGTCATTCTAGGTTCTTGTAATAGAAACTTGTATGGTGGTAGAATTATAGCTGATTTTCTGTCGAGTCAAGTCTTTTATTAATGAATTTGACACAATACCACACAATAAGTTAATTTATCATAAATATTTATTTCAAAATGCAATTTAATGCAATGATGTAGAGTTGTGTTTATATATTACAAAACAGCTATATACATCAAAGGATGAAACAAAGAACAGAGTTTGAAATAAATGTAATCTAATCTTATTTTCTTTTTTTTAAGCACAGTAATGTAGCCTACTTATTCTGCGCATTAATCAATAGTATACACTGAACGTACTGTGACACCAGAGTGAAAAATGCAACTGTAAAGACACAAGAATCAAATTCCATGAACTAGTGACTAATTTGTCAAAGTATCGGATAACTGAGTGTCTCTGCCTATCAAGGGTCAACTAATAGTCACCTCAACATCCAGTGCCAAACAGTCAGCCGTGACTCCGCCCAGCAACTCCCCCACGCTTGGTTTGGTCCTGCCAAAGTCTCCGTGGACAAACTCCTTGATATACGTCCCCGCCTGGGTGTTCAGCTGTAGTCTGAAGTAGGTTTTATCTGTAATAAAATGCTTTGAAATAAAATCAGGAATAACTCTTAGTTTCTGCTTTGATTCTAAAAAAGATCGAAACAAAGTGTAGCTGTTCATCTACTTGGTAAACAGCTTGAAAATGAACTCGCTAGACTAAAATACGGATCATTGACAGTACAACAAGGCAACTTTTTTCTTTCAGGGGCCTAAACTTTTCCAAGGAATAATAGTTTATACAACATATTAAAACAGTATTATCAGTAAAGCAATACCAGTTATCATCTCCCGCAATCGCGGCAATACCCGTGAGCATATTTTGCGGTTTCGGCGACACTGATAATCTTTTCCCACGATCAAGACAACACCAGCCTTCGGGGACCAGTGTTCGTGAGGGGGGGGGAGGGGTGTCTTTTGGTTTACCGACATTTCCGATGACCGGGCTCCAGATTCCCAGAGGTTCGGGTTAATTCCTGGAGTTTTCCAGATAAAATAAAATTCTAATTATAATTTAAATAGATAAAATTCTTGAAGGTTTCCTGGTTTTCCTGGAGAGTAGGCACCATGTATTTGTAAAAACAAGATCCAGAGGCGAAACATGTTTGTGATTGTAGATTACATTTGTAATTGAGATATTGCTTTTGATGTCAATTTTATTTACCAAAATCAAATTTTGGATTGCACCTAAAATACATAATCAATTCCACTATTGAAACGCACACACAGCACAAATACTCACTGTCCACGCAGGTGACGTTGCTGACTTTCATCCAGTGTACAGTGCGAGGTCGGGTAGCGATGGGTCTGCGGTGTAACACCCTCACTGGTGTCTTCTGCTGCAACACCAGTGGTGTCTCGGTAGTCAATGCTGCCACTGTCGCTGCATCCGTGTCCCACGCTATACAGTACGCTGTGTACGTCTTGGTCTTGGTCTCCTCGCCCTGCTTCAGTAACTCCATGGCAGACCTGACGAAAGTTTTATACTTCACTCACAACCATGTTTGTCAACATTTAAATTAACTAGTAACTTCAACTTCTGATTAGTAGTACTTCTGTAATCCCCCAAAATGCTTAAAGAAAAAAAGTACCATATCTTGACCATGTCCTACTTCACAGGTAGAGTAAATTGATCAAATAAGCAGCCAAATAAGAAAACATGTCACTCCATTCCTATTGTTTCAAATGGAAATATACTGCCCCGTGCTAGATTCTTTCCATAGCCATTCATTAGACATACCATTTATATGTTGAAGCTGTTGTTAGTTTTAGAATCAAAATGAACATAGTTGATTTGAGCCGCCGACAGAATGCCAATTAATGTCAATTACTAATTTCTCACCAATACAGACACTTTTTAAACAAGCCAAATCAAAATAATAAATTAATGTAAAACATAATCTTTCATGTCACATTTTAAATTTAGTTACAAAAACGGAAAAAGAAAACATTGAATCAGAATCAGAATACATTGAAAACATAAAACTGCCTTACTTTGACACTAGTTTGAGGTTATGCACGCTGATCCTGCCCCCGCCTTCTTGGTTGATGTCAGCCTCTAGTTGCCCCAACTGCTCACTAGACAGCAGCACGTGGCGGGGAGCAGCCAGCTCTAAGGCGAAGGGTCGTCCGTCACCCAACATGCGGACATCCACGTCCTCTCTCCCCGAGGAAATCAGCTTACTGCCTTCCACAAACATGAGGTCATAAAATAGTAAATTGTCAAACTAACTATACTGTATATTTAATACACATAGTGATCTTATTATGCTTTCATTGAAAAAATAAGATTGTGAATAAGTTACAGTAGAATCCCTACATCCGTACACCTTAGGACCAATTTTATATCACCACATTAGAAATAGCCCATTATCCATGTATTTTATTACTCATTAATCCGCGTTCCCCACTTTAAGTAAATACCAATGTGTACACTTTTGTCAACACGCTTACGTGAGCCGCACCTGTAGTAGGATGGGACTACTATCTGTTTTAAGGACTGTTCACACGAACCACGCTTATTTTTTGGATTTAATTTTTACCTCAGAAAGCATCTATGGTAGAATGTAGTGTTGAGAGTTGTGCAGTTTTTGGTCTGAACAAGTTGAGACAGTCTTGTGGACCTTTTAGAAAACAGAAACCCCGTGTTTTGGGGAGAGAAAACGAGAACCAGAAAACTGTGAGCTAAATAGAGAGGTGGTTCTTTTCCGTTAATTCACTACCACTACTTTTTTTATTGCAATTCCGATATTTTTAACAGTTAACCTAGTCTATGAATATATCACTAGTCCAAACTAACCTAACCAACAAAACGAGCTGATAATGAAAAAAATCTGGTATTAAATAAACAGAATTTCAATAAAAAAAATAGTGGTAGTGAATTAACAGAAAGGGACCAAGAGGCTGTTGTAAAGTAAACAATCAAGATTTATCTTAGCTGATAAAGGACTTTTCCAAATACCTTGAGCCTTGGTGAGTGCCTGTACTTTGCCAGCAATCAGTTCATGAACCGACGTCTCCATTCTCCTCTCGTCCTTGACCATCCAGGCAGTCTGAGGCAGACTCCGGGTATACTTGTTGTATCTACCTTCAACACAATATTTTCTAAGCGCAAACCTTTCAACACTGTAAACTCCTTGATATGGCACAGTCTGGACTAGGGTAGTTCCAGAGTTTGGAAAATACTCAATAACTGAGCGGCAACTAACAACAGTATTAGGATAGATGGCTGTCCCAAAAATATGACATTTTCATGTTTTAAAAGTAAAAATCGGAAAAAGCTAAATTTTGCAAGTTTCAATACCCCATAACATCCCATTTTCATTACCCGAACGTGCTGGTTTACGAACTCATTCAAGTTTATTCAGCCCTTCACATTCATGACAAATGTATCGAAACCAGACTAAGTTAGCCTACTTGGGTTACGTTCACGGATACATGTATATTATGTGTGTTACAACATACATATACAATTTTGAACGAACGGTGTTTTTTTACTTCAAAATGAAAAAGAATTTCCATATTCCATCATTCCAACCTTGGGATGTAAACTTTTGATGACATAGAAAAATGATAAGGTGTAGTAGGTAGGAAATGTATTAAAATTCATTGTAGTAGCCCCAGAACTGCAATATTGACTAATTAGTTTCATTATTATAATTATTGGAACTGATGACAGGTAATATGAAACCAATTTGTAAATGTATTCTTTATTAGCTTGATTCTGTACTTACATTAGAATCAACTCTAAAACATTTACCTTATCATTATTTTATTAAGAGCATGATAGCAGTTTTTGAATTGAAAAACTTGACTAGTCCTAATTTAACTTAATACTCAATTCTCAGAAGTCAATAACAATACCGGTACAATTAAGCAAGGCCTTAAAAACAACCAAGGGTATGTGGAATTTTTTACCTCCAAGATACAAAGGTGCCTGTTCGAACATGACGGTGTTGCAGACCGCAGAATGTGTTGGGATGGTGGGGGGGACGGGGAAATGCTTAGAGAAACACTGCCTGTCCGTCGTCCCCAGTGTCACTTCCACGGCCTTGCGAGAATACAACAGCATGGGCCCTGCACAGTGGCGGAGACGCTTGGCTTTGATACGCTGGTCTTTAAAAATATCTGGCCGCATTTTCAATCTAGAATTATAAATCAAATAATCGTGATTACCATAATTCTTGAGAAGCTGCCAATCTATATCCATTACTATGCATTCTTATTCTTCTGACACTACAATGTAATGAAATTTCCCTTCCATCCCTTTTCACAAGCTATCGTTATTGATTTATTTATATACACTAAAATCAATCTTCTTCCTTTAGTACATGTAGGTTATGTAAACAATTTTCATTTTCAACACTTTTACTAATGGATTTCTTCTATTGGAAAATTCCAAACTGTTATTTTTTGTGGTCTCGGCCCTCAACATTGATAATTAATAGTGATACCACTTTATTTAACGATTCTTACATTAAATAAATTTGCAGCTAAAACATATATCAATAAAACAGATTCTTTATGTTATACAAGACTAAATTGCCTATTTTAAAATCCGAGTTACCAATCTACAAAGTCAGATTTACTTACATCTCAGATGGTTTGAAAGATATATTGAAATTCCCTATTAGAACATAGATTAGCAAACATAAATACTCACAAGCAATCAATCTCTGAATGATCGTCCTCATATTGAATATCAACCTGAATTCTCAAATCCGAGTCCACATCAAACTTCTTATTTATTCTCTGTGCAACCTTGTCAGCAAAGGCGTACTTCCACGCGTCTTTCACCCCGATAGTGACTAGACGCATGGGCAAATGTTCCTTAACATGGTCAGGATGACTGTCCAGCAGAAACACCAGCACAGCATGGGCTCTGAGATAGAAACTGACGGGGATAGAGAAAGCTATGTTAAATGTGGGATTGTCGTATTCCTCCTTTTCAACAGCTGCGACAATCTGAAATACATGGAGAACGTAGTTAACCAATTTTTAAGATTGTATACCAGTAGCATTGACTATATACAGAAGTCACATTCAACTTTTTGGATTGCCCCTAAACTGTAATAAAAGTAACAACTTTAATACTTTTTTATTAAATGGTGCCATACAAAGTAGGTATTTTAAGCCAAGTATGAATGGAGATGAGTGTAGGATGAGTGGTGCAATCTTGTAGTCTTGTTAACTACAACAAGACTAAGGCCGACATTCCTTAGACACAGCTGTTAATTAATAGACCATACAGTTAATGGTAACTAAGGGACCTACAGTTTATAGTGGAATCCGAACCCCATTTTTGCCTTGGTACATTACGAATTGGTCTAATTATCAGGATAGTACTGAGGATAGTCGTAGTACTCCAACTTACTGCATAGGTAAATTTAAATCATTCAGTATCGTGTTTGTGGAAGTTGAGAACTAAGATCTTTGAAAAAAGAATCACATTTTAGGAGAAAATTTATCTAACTAGGTAATAGAACTGAATACGGATGCTGGATGCTTACCTCATCAATGATTTTGTCGCAAATCGGAGGCTGAAGCACACCGAGGCAAGCGATGCAAGGATTACTGGCCAACTTTTTTACACCATTTGGAGCATCTTCATTAACCTTAAAATATCATCATTGGTAAAGAAAAGCCATATCACCATATGTAACTTATCAAACTACAAGATTACCAAGAATTATCTACCCTAAACTCTCTTTTCTTCTTCATCCCTCTTTAACTCCTATCTCTAATCCATTAACCCTCCAAGTGTCCATAGTTTAGGCCTTAATGTCCACCTATTTTTGGCGCATTTGCAAGGTTTTATTAAAACGGATCTGAGAAGCTTAAAACAATGTTCATTCTAATGTTCTATATACCATTTTGTTTGGAAAATCATGGGCTTCAATATTATATATAAAACATAAGGAACATTAAAAAAAAAAAAAATTTTAGGTAAAAAAAATATAATTTCGAAAATTTTCAAAAAAAAAATAAGTTTGCGCTCAATGAAATTGTATAAATTATAGGCCTATAAATATTTGAAAACAGCCACTTTGTTCTAAATTTTATGAGGATTACAAATATATAATGATATAAGGAAGTAGATTTGCAAATAAATAAGTTATGGGCAAAAAACAGATTTCAGTACATAGCGTTTAGCTAAGAATGCATAGCCTAACCATAGCTAGGAATCTGGCTGATAATTTACATCAATATCACTACCTACTTCTTCAGGATCATCAACCAGCACTTCAAAACCACTTAAATCTTCTTATAATGCAACACGTATATCACTACTTTTGATTTTTAACACTAAAACAATGATAAACGTAATAAAACACATCAGTCATCGGTCCGAGTAACCTAGCTGTTTACAAATACACGCACGTCAGCTGTCTGCTACAATTACGATCGGCTCAGAGAACGTACAGCGCTGAGACAGACCTCTGGAGAAAGCTTAGAATATTACGGAAAGAACGATACCTAACTCGATCCAGTTCAATCCGATTCAGTCAGTCATAGAGCCTTCGCCGTAAACGATGTCTGCGTGTCGAAAAATCGACAAGTAGGCCTAACACTACACAAAGTGTGCTGCTTGTCGAATTTTCGTCAAGTAACACTGGGAGGGTTAAAGATTACGTCTCTGTAGTGACAGTACGGTGTTATAAATCAATCAATGAAAATACCTTGGTTGGAAATTATAAACGGCAAGCCTAACTAACATTAAGTTAAAAATAAATAACCGGTAAACAAAATTAGGCCTACATTTAATTTATTAATCCACAAACATACCATAAAATACAACAGCTGAAGAAATTCACTTAACTACGAGCCAAAAAATCTTTACAGAAGACGTGGAAAAGATAACAAGTTCTATCCATCTTCCAAGTTCTCCTCACCATGACTGTATTTGGCCCTAAGTGTTTTGAAGTTAGGTTAGATTGGGAAGGTAAAGTTTAGGTTATAAAGAACCAACTTGTTCATTGATGTAAACTTCCAAACTGCTTTTGCACAATTATTACTATACTGCTTCCTATCCTAACCTAACTAAAAAACACTTAGCCTAATACAGTAGCGAATCTGCATAAATATCGACCTATCTTCCCTACATCTATTTTCTGTCATTAAAATGGGATTTTGAAAATTGAGAGTGAGATAGATTAGGTAAAGTTAGGTTGGATTAGCTTAGCTGAGGTTAATTTAATATAAAAAAGATTCTGAAATCAATAGGCTAACTTCCTTACTGCAGTATGCCATAAAGATTTTTACTAAATTAATAATGGAATCTCTTACTGTTTGGGTTTCCTTATTACACATATCATATGATTAATTAGTTGCCGACACATGAAATTATGCATGAGATTATGCACTATGACACATTTTTGCTTTTAATGCACTTAGTCTATGGCACATTCAGTTAGTCAGCGGACGTTGAGGGTTCAGGTGAAGGCTATGGGTGAGGACTTTCGTTTCTATTTCTCCTGTTTTACAAGAGTAATTTAAGCTTAAACATTTGTTAATAACTAATGTTGATGCAAATTAGGTTTATGCATCGTAGTGTTAAGGACCGTTTGCTTTAACAAATTGAATCGCTTTCCCATTGTGTGTGGTTTTGTTTATTTAGTATTGAATGTAAAAAACTAACAGCTGTTTCCACTCCACAAACCTTCCTCCCCTTCAGAGTTAGCCTATAGAACATGGACACGTCCGAACCTCCACCATCTGAATTAGGCCTACTTCATGAAACTGCAGTTTGTTATTAGTCCTAGTTATTTAATTAAGTGCAGTAACTTCTGGAATCTATTAGACACAAAAATGATTACATTTTCCGATTCAGGGTGTAAAAAGATTCTAGGTAGACATAACTTAAATGAATCATTGTGGCTATACAGAATACCGTAAACTTATGAAGCAGTGTTGTCCGTATTAACTTCAGTAGGATTAGCCAACTAACTAAAATATAAGTTATATAGGCCTAGGTATCCCTAAAGAGAAATAGATAAACCTACCTCTGTCTTGATGTGTCTGCCTGGTCCAAAACCTAAACTGTACAAGAATTTGTAGGCTTCAACTTTGGTTTCACCAAAAAACCTAAGGGAGCACATTTTACAGCATCCTATTGAGGATAACAGCTCATACATTTCTAAATTTTGTACATTACTCTGCACATTAGTTTCTAAGAGTTCTGTCATCTTTACATTAGTTTCTGGGAGTTGTGTCATATTTAATTTAGTTAACGTAGTCTAAACTAAACCACACCACTACTGTCAAAATTATTGACTAAGGGGCAACCCACTCAGTTTAAACATAGGCCTATCACAAAACAATTTTTTAGAGTCTAATATTCCAGCATCTCTTGAATGCAATTAAATTAGTTTTAATTCAAAATTTAAAGGCACGCCCTCATGGGAAATAAGTTGGAGTATGCTTGATCTATCTATTAAATAATCTTAACTTAACCATGTCCATACAGCTCCGGCTACGGCAAAACAGCATAACATAACCTTAAACCATGAAGTGGAAGTTAGAACATAAACAGAGCAGACCGGGGATAGCGCTGGGTTCACAACGATATGGTAGGCATTCGGATAAGAATCGACCTTGTTTTCTACCGGATGACAGACATCGACTCTTTAGTATCGGATCCGGCTATCTCATGGTGGAAGATCGAAGTACAAGTAAATTATTGCCAATGCGCTGGTGCCTTCTGCTGCTGCTTCTAACTCCTCTCCTATGCCTGTCGTCACAAACGTCATAATGTGCCCTTTACGGGAAGACCATAATTTAATTCATAATATTACAGTGAATGCAAATAAATAAATAAGTACATCATAATATCTGAACCTGGTAACTTATAACATTTGCCAATGAAAATGTTTAATCCTAACATTAAGTTACAGTAATTAAGTAGCCTACCACGGCTGATAACCAGCATGATGAATATAAGAACTTGAATAGAAGAACATCACGGAGGAATTTAAAAAATATTCCAGTAAACTTACGCAATTTCGGCGTCCTAACTTGTCTAATTCAATAACAAATTGAGCTGTCTTGGGAATACACATTTCTCAAAAAGCCCGTTTCTAGGGCTCAGATATTGCAAGGAAAGAAATATTTGAATTCTCAAACTGAACTGAGAAGAGGGCATATTTCATGAGTTGAGTACAGTACTGGGTTGTTGTATTTAGTCAAAGGTAGGCCCTGCTGGCTATTAAAACAAGCAAGCTTAAGTTTAATCCTCATACATATAAGTTATAAAACAGCCATCAGTATAGGCCTAGGCAATGTTCGGCCCAAATTTTGACAAACTGTTCAGGATTGAAAATGTGACCTCAAGATAAGTAGCGAGTTAATTTACCACTTAGCCTACTGTAAATTGAAGATTCTATTAAATTAAATAAGTTACAAAGTTAATCATCAAGCTACCTTTTAACCCAAAAAATAATAATAATAAATAAAACGGAACAAAGTTGAAATAAATTAAATAACTAAATACTAAATTAAAAATAATAAAAGAAATATTATCCTATTCGAAGGCTAGTGCTAGTTCTTAGTTTTTGTTGTCTCTCTGTCTGTCTTCTCTTTCTCTTTGTGTGTCGAGTCGAGTCGGCTCGGCTGCTCGGCTCTAGCCACGGCCGCCTTTAACTACAGGCCGCGGCCTGGTAGAATTGGCAACATCGCAAGTGGTGTTGTTCAGTGACAGATGTCCCATAAGATAACATGGCAGACAGGTGACATCAGTTCATTAATTCGCACTTTATTGATTTCATTTTTAATTTATGAACATAAATTTATTAAAATATCAACATACAGAATTGAAAATTGAAACAATATGAATTAAAATCTATATCTGTACATTTTTAAGCGGAGTCAATATTGTCATAGTTAGTAATCAATCTTTCGTAAATACAAAAATACCATTAGTTGCTTCCAAAAAAATCAGCTGTTACAACACCACTTGCGACGTTGCCAGTTCGAAGGCCGCGGCCTGGAGTTAAAGGCGGCCGTGCTCTAGCGCTCTAGGAGGCAATCGATTTACGATGTTCGATAGTAGTTCATTTCATACTACGACGATCGATACTTATCCGAATGCCTACCATATCGTTGTGAACCCAGCGCTATCCGCAGACCGGAGCACTGGAGCAGACTGACAGACAGTTTTTGAGGGTTTAGGTTTCTTCTTCTTCTTCTATTATAACTTGGTTAAAAAAAGCTGGCTTGGGTAAAGTGCCATGAAGCAACACTATTTTATCTTGAAACATGACTAAAAAGGTGGCTGTGGTCGCCGTGGATCTATACATTTTCCCGGGCTTTTTTGAAAAGGTTGTTAGGAAATGATTTTTGTTGTTCTAATAAACTGAGTTTACTGAGGTTAATAACTTTACTTTAAGTTTGTGAAGTTGGATGATTTCCAGTTTAAATGACTTGTTTGAAAATTTATTTAAAGTTCAAGTTTCATCCCTCAAAGTAGGTTTTCTGAGGGGCTTAAATTTTTCCAAAGGGAAAAGTACCGTAGTTGGCACGGTGTAGGACCTGGCCTGGGACCAATTAACTTTTTCAGGTTGATTTCCCCAGAGGCAAAACACTTTATTAGTTCAAATTTGAATATTAGATAGGCTATTGAAAATTACTCAAGTTATCACGTTCACAGACACACACACATATATATATGTATTGTTTAAACGCAATAACTAGCTCCGATTTTGGTAAAATTCGGCTTGAAGGTGTAGAGCGGGATAAACTTCAATATGAGTTACTAGCAGAGTAGAGTACCCGTCCTTTGTACGGGGTTGGCAAATAAGTATAAAATGCTTATTGCAGTTATACCTGATCTTTGCGTTTGCAATGTGAGAAAACACGGTTTGAGAACATTTGCTTCCTAAAATTTACGGTATGCGATAGTATTACACATCTACCATAGCCATAATGTTCTACTACTTCCACCTAGAGAAAGATAGATTATTAAAAATTCGCAAAATATCATAAATTATTCATGACATTAAAAACATAAACATAACTGTAAACAATCCTACTTTGACAGTTCTCATTGTGTATCACAGTTTTTTGTTGCTGCTTAGTTCAAATTAGCTGTTTTCATAAATATTGAAAAAAATAATAGTGCTGCACCCTGTTGGTACATCTTATTAATTTTTAATGCTTTTGCATATCATAGAACCAACTCTTTTGGTTGAAACAGCTGGCTAAATTCTTTAATTTCCTTTAAGAATACTCATAAGGTTAACATGGGGAACTGCAGAGCCACTGGGGCGGAGCCCAAAAGGATTTTTGAGATAAGAATATGCCTATATGTTAATCGGGAATGTGAGCTATCATCATGCCAAATTTCAGCCCTATCCGACCAGTATTTTTCGTGTTTACTTGTCACAAACATACATCCATACATCCAAACTTTCTCATTTATAATATTAGTAATGATCAGATCGGGTCATATGAATGTGCTATTTTGGAATGTTCAAAATATTTTTTTTCCAAATCTTACCTTTAAGGCATGGAAATACCTTATTTTCAATACAACCAACGCATAGAGGTAAAAAAAAACAACTATAATTTTATTGTATATTGAAAAGTTAATGTAAAATTAAGTGTTAAAGAGAAAAACAAAACTAAAGTTAAAGTTAAACTAAGTTCTAGTTTGCTTATTTATGGATGGATTTTGATAAAATTTTGCTAATTTATTTATTTCATCCTATTAACTTATATAGAATAGAAACCCTTTTTACCTGATGAATGTACACTTCTTGATTGATGTGACCATTTTGCCTGAGACCCCAAATTGGATTATTTTGGGGGCAGTTAAAATTTGTAAAAGCCAGTTTGCAGTTGCACTAGGTTAAAAACTATAACCTCTGATTTTCACTGTTTCTTATTTAATACAGACTTTTAAATTATGTGTGCTCGATTAACTCGTTTTTCTGGTGTGACCAATTAAAAGTTATGTGGGATATCACCATAGATAAAACATACTCCCTTAGTAGATTTCTCATCCTTATGGAACAGCTGAAGACAATTTTATTGTTAGTTCATGTACGGTTTATGTAGAGGTCGTGTTTTGTTTACAATTTGTTTCCCGTTATTACAGCCATTTAAAACCTCGTTTAACCAAATAATACGATCTAACCATAAACAATAACTTGTCCCCTAGTTATATAACCAAACAGTAAAGCACAAATCAAAAAATTAACCGTAAAATAATGGAAACAAAGTTTCATCGACACTAGCGCCTTTGTGTCACGTACATGAACTAGACACGAAAAACGTGCTTCAAAATGTACAATGGGATGAGAAGTCTACTTGTGTTGGTTAGTCTATGATATCACCTACCTTTCCCTGAAAATTTATAATAGGATGTCAAAATTCTGCTTTTCTATTAAAACTAACTAGAGCTCGTCCCATGGCCGAAACCATAGATAAAACATACTCCCCGAAACCTCAACCAAAAATATGTATTGTGCGAAATTCTTTATTTTTTAACCCACACTGAAAATAAAACATGTGATTGGAATTTATTCCATTCGTTTTGAATTCTGTTTATATTTTGTTGTTTTTTTGTCACCAGCATGGCAACCCATATAAGGCCCATGTTAATTTTTTTAAAATTTAAAATTCATTTATGTGCTTATTTTTGAGCAAGGAAAATATCTTTCTAACACTACTATGCGTAGATTTTCTGCGATGCACACAAGCTGAGAAAAAAGGTTTTAAATAAACATGCTTGCCTATTAATACAGTATACAGGGTGTCCCGGAACTCTCTACCAATATTTTAGGGCATTGTTCCTGGGTAAGAAACGTATCTAAATATCATATTTAAATTGTCCGGAAGTCCTTAGTTACTCAGATAGCCGCCATTTTGTTTTTTTCACTTATTAATTTTTTTCTGAAGATTGGTTAAACATACGAAGTTGAAACTTTGCACAAACATTTATGACAACTAGACAAAGCTACAAAAAAATTATGACGATTTTTCAAATTCATAAAACAAAATGGCGGCTGATTAAAATTTTGTTTCTTAAATTTCTCGAAAACCGTTGATTTTACAAAAATTTTGGCAATTTTATTACAAATCGATTGACACCTTAATCTTTAAGATCGGATGAGTATTAACTGAGATATGGCATTTTTAGTGATACGTGACCGCCGGATATTAGTTGCAGCGCATGCTGAAAGCGGTCACGTATCACTAAAACTGCCATATCTCAGTTAATACTCGTCCGATCTTAAAGATTAAGGTGTCGATCGATTTTTAATAAAATTGCCTTAAAAAAGTTATTCTTGTAAAATTTTTGTAAAATCAACGGTTTTCGAGAAATTTAAGAAACAAAATTTTAATCAGCCGCCATTTTGTTTTATGAATTTGAAAAATCGTCATAATTTTTTTGTAGCTTTGTCTAGTTGTCATAAATGTTTGTGCAAAGTTTCAACTTCGTATGTTTAACCAATCTTCAGAAAAAAATTAATAAGTGAAAAAAACAAAATGGCGGCTATCTGAGTAAATAAGGACTTCCGGACAATTTAAATATGATATTTAGATATGTTTCTTACCCAGGAACAATGCCCTAAAATATTGGTAGAGAGTTCCGGGACACCCTGTATAAACTAGAGGTCGTCCAGTGACCGAAAACTTGGCCAAAATTATGTAATGTACAGACTTCTCTATTTTCACCCCAAGCTGTAAATAAAACATGTGATTGGAATTAATTCCATTAGTTTTGATTTTCTGTTTATATTTCATTGTTATTTCGTCATCAGCATGGCAACCCGTAAGGTCCATGTTAATTTTTTTAAACTTTAAATTCATTTTTTGTTTGCTTATTTTGAGCCTTTTTTAATTTATGAAGGGATTCTGCACACCTACAGGAAAATATCTTTCTAAGAGTATGCGTAGATTTTCCCTTCCGATGCACACGAGATGAGAAAAAAGCTTTTAAAGAAACATGCTTGCCTATTAATATATAATCCATTCATACTTGGCTTAAAATACCTACTTTGTACAGTCACCATTTAAAAAAAAGTATTAAAAGTAAGCATTAAAGTATATAGATAGATAGATTACGGCAGTCTTAAATAGTTAATATCATATCAAATCTTTAGATGTTCCTATCTATTAAGGTTTAAGAAATAAAACAGTCAGGGTTTTGTAACACTTTTATTACCAGTAATTATTCATTACATTTCCTTATAAATACCTCTGAATGATCTTTACAAAACGCATGCAGGATGAAAGCGGGCGGGAAAACGAAAGTGGCTAAGCCGTCGTCTTCACTCATTCCAAGGCAAACCTACGGTGACATTCTTATAGCACCATGATAGCAAACTAAATAATTATATTCATATAAAACTACGAATAACATCATTAATAATCCATACTTTACAATAATGTTAACATTACAATCAAAAGCTCTTTTTGCCTCGTATAAATGTGCTCTTGTATGCTCATAATCCCCAAGGTTAAATTTAAATATTGTGTTATATATTCATAATAGTTTTTCCATTAATTGATAACAATTGAAATTTGCAATAATTGAAGTACAGTAATCACATTTTGAGTTTTAAAATATGTTACTAAAATATAACATTATTAATTTTAACAAATATATTTTAATGTAACATTACAAAATTAACGTATTATAGTTAAAAAATAATACAAAAAATATATTTGTTTAGGATTTGTTGAGTTTAATTTTTTTCCAAGTAATAGCAGGGATTGTACAATGGGGCACCAACACACCAACTAATCACATAAAACAGATATTAGAACAATAGGACCTTAGAATATCTAAAATACATATATTTGGTCTTTGGTAAAATTAGGCTAGTTAGTTTAATCACCACCTAGAAAAATTAATAAATAATCATACGATTGCACAACTTATACAAACTAAACAATACAATAATTTTCTGAATATAAATAACATGTAAAATACATTTTCAGGGCCTAATATAATACAAAAAATAAGTACCATGAACAACCTCAAGATATCAAATACTATTTAAAAACAGGCTGTAGCATGTTTATTTTTAAATCTTCATCCAAAGTAAAACGTAAAACAGAAAATTACCATACACAGGTTTACCTTAGTTTCAAATTTTGCAATTTTAACAGAAATAAACTATGTTAAACAACAAAAGGTTAAAAACTATAATTTTTCAAAATGAACAAAATAGTGTATACTGTAAGGTTGCAGACACAACAAAATAACTGCAATTGTTTTACTTATTCAGGTTGTTTGGCTAGGATTTAGAATGGTTTAAGAAATAGACCATGTTTCCGTATTTAGTGCAACCCAACCCTTAATGGGATTGAGAAAGAGCTTCGGTTATTCTTGAGCCTTCACACCACTGACATTACTCCTCACTTACTCGAGTCAGTCTTTTAATGGAATTTACAAAGCTAGACAACACCTAAGTTTGATATCAAAAGTAACACATGGCCGCATGGCTGGAAATGGAACTGACTACTTTACCGTTCCACTACAGAAGTAAGTTTCCAACACCTGGAGGATGGATCTAACTCACAGGCGAAGAATGTCACAAGACGCAGATCCACGTTGGTGGGATTGCCTGACGCAACGTTTGGTAGTCATATAGTTACGTGAATAGAAAACAAGTATCACATAAATAGCGTTAAAACGTTAAGGAATCTTCATAAGGACTTGTTTGATATCGAGGTGTAAAAAAACCAAATGTTAATAATATTGGAGCTATACAATGGCGTCTTTAAAATAATTGGTCAGGGAAAAAATTTATATTTGTTTTTGTTGGTATTGCTAAGAAGAAAATGTAAAGAACAATGTTAAAATTATGAAAAGAAAATTAGGTGACAACTTATCAAACTCTCAGGGAAGCTAAAATTTATCGTGGTGAACTTTGTATGATTTTGGTACCGTAATGAAACATTATAATAAAATCACACCCTTATCATATGGGTAATTGACAAAAGATTGTTTTAAAACCATTAATTGAATGCCTTTTTATTGAGCCACACATTGAAGTTGTAAAACAAAAGGGAATTAGTGCTCAACATAAATTATACAGGTACTAAATAAATCAAGAAACAGGTTTAGTAGTTTTTCCCATGTCATTTAACTGTTTCTGGGATTTATTAGTAGGATGGAATATTACGGCACTGGTAACAGAGCTGTTATCGTAGAAATTACCATTCAGTCTAGATGCCAAATCCAAACAAATTATCCAAATTTATTTAACTGAACACCAAAGAAATTCAGGCAATTCCATCAAACATGAACTAATATTTTATTACCTTTACAAGACCCACATAAAATCTGGTTTGCCAAAAATAAATGCAATTTGGAATGATACAGTTATTAAGTAACAAATGGAAATTAAATGTCTTGTGCAGAAAATAAAATATTTAGCACATACTAAACCAATGTAAAATAGCAGTGTTTGAAAATAAATCTAACGGCATTCAAACAACAACTATAACAATATACAATGCAATTCACTGCTGGAAATATTTGGCATTCCCTAATGACAAAAATGGTTGCTATTAGTTTTGCAAACCGTTCACATGTTTTGGGAATTTATCACTTTTCAAACAATCAAATATCAATTCTGATCTAGGGTCTTTCTAGAAATGTAACTGTACCATTGAGCTAACATCTGTACCATCATTAGAATAAAATGCTTGAATTTGTTTATAGGTATGATCAGAAAATCTTTTTAAAAGAAATATCTATCATCACATGTATGTATATCACACTATTGTGTTCTGATTGAAAATAATTAATTTGTTACTTCTGTATACTGCAATATTTTTAATAATTGTACAAATAGGTACAGAAATCATATTGTCACACATAAAAAACTTCAAGATTGGCTCAATGGTAGAGTTATAATAAATAAAACATAGGTATTGAAAATTGGATCACTAAAAATTGTTCCTAAAGCTCCAAGTCTTAACAAACAAAAACACAACATTTCTTGAACATATGAAACTTATTAAACAGGAGGATAACATATTGATTGCACTTCTTAAAACATTGCTAAAGTTTAACAATTTAAAATTTTTTAAACCCTTTTTTCCAAAAGCCTTACAATTTAAAAAATTCAATCATTTCTAATTTAAAACACTTAAGATGCTTGTTACACTTGCAACATAAACTAACAAAGTAACTAGCAACAAATGTAACGATTGATCGTCAACTTTCTAAATATGACAAATGGTATAAACATCAATGTAAGGAATTACCTTTCATCTACTGTTTGAATATATTAAGTACTGATATATAGTAGTAATATAATAAGCTTTAAATACGTAATATAAAGCAAAATGGACATGGACTGCATAGCAACAATTTCTCTGATTGTTGTTTTAGACGGTTCTGGTAATTCCATCATTGTACCCGGCGTGGAGCTCCCGAATCCATGGCACCGAGTTTCAGAACTCCCAAACTCCAACTACGCTAGGGAGCCCCCTTCACTTGAGCTAGACTGTCGCAGTCGCTTTCATATATGCTACAGTTGATCACACCTCTTCTATGAAGTTCAAAGCTAAAATACTAAAATAGATCCGACTATTAAATCCCTGACATAGATATTAGTATCGGGGCCGCTTAAAATTACATTTTTGATTAAGGAAAATCTAATATTAATTGTATTAGAGACCTTTTGTGTACCATCACTCAAAGTGTAACGTCATTTTGGAATCTGTTTGTGCCGTTCTGGATTTAAAACGAAGGACCTCAAGAAAAGTGAAAAAGCCACTTATATACTCCTTTTAAAAGTAGTGTAAAAGTCTTACAAATGCCATAGTAAAATTATGTGGACGGATGTACAGGAAATGCAAGGACTAATTTTTGTGCAGCAAATAAAAAAAAAAAACTGAAAATTGAAACCGAACTGAATTGTAAAAAGCAATTGAAATACATACAGGTTAAAATACAGGCGTTTTCTTTAAAAAGCTATTATAATATCACTTTAAAGAGAGCCAGTCTCATAACTGAAACAAAATCTACACAATATACACACTGTGGAATCGATACTCTCCGATCTAGCTTCTTTACTGCAACAGCAACTCAGGAAGATGGCAAAGTCGCTGTGAAAATTAAGCAGAACTTCTGCTGCACGGATAAAACAGATTCCATTGAGTGAGCGCACATTGTCTAGTGACAACAGTGTTAAGACGCAGCACATCCGTAGACCTTGAGCCTATCGGAAGGCACGTGGCCCTAGAACTCCAGTCGGTACGCGGAGCAGCTGGTCTCGTGATCCTGGAGGTTGATAGTGCAGCGGCTAGCTGAGGGGGACAGATCTATCTTGTACTTGGCTAGCAGATCCTCATTCTCTGCCACCCAGTAGCCCAGAGTGTCGGTGTCGTAGGTCGGAATAATCGTTACTTCTGAAACAGGAGAGAAATACATGTAGAGTAACATCCAAACTTAAAATAGGACCTCTGCAGCATCTGTAGAGAGGGCAGTCTTTCAACATATTTCAAATTGTATAAGTGTCAGCCCAGCATTCCCATGACTGATCTTGTCTTAAATTGCTAATTACAGTATTGGGTTTTAATTTCTTAAACATAGTGTATAGCAAAGGAGTAAAACAGGGCAGACAAATATTGTATGCATTTGATCACAAATGCCTTTTCCTGCTGCATCTCACAAGGTGATATTTACCCATATCACAAGAGAAGTAGATTTTGTATTCTCAACACTCTCTTAACACGTTCGCTACCGATCCCCACATATATGTGACGCTGCGGTCATTGTCACGGACCGAGGTATACATTTAGACCAGGTGTCACTCGGTTCTACACGCAGACCACAGGCCAGTGATGCAGCAAAGTAAAAAACAGTTTTGCCAACTGTCATATGACTTCACCAATCATCAAACCCACAGACCAAGTGACGTACATTTGTGATAAACATATCTGTAGACCACTGCAGAGAATTCAGGGCCTTCAAATAGACCATTACAACAATATAAGCTTTATAATAACATTGGTACACCGACACAAATATGCAACGTCAGTTTGTTTTAATGTGATCAGCCGTCGCATATACGTGACGAAAGTCTATGGGTAGAAACCGACTGTCAAATATTTGCGTCGCTGTTCCACATGAATGAAAAATTCAGTACTATATGGGTAGCGAACGTGTTAAGATTTAAATCCACACTTTTAGTACCGTACATTGATTGCTCAGCAAGACAGAAGCACAGCGTTCTACTGCCCGGAACACCATAGAGACATCTCATGTATGAAGAACTTTTGTGTTGGCCTCCCAAGATGAACCAGTTAGATGGACTATTTTGATGCTAGTTCTATCTTTCCCTGCAGTTTTATCTGACTATCAAAAGTCAGTGTAGTTGTTATTTAGATTAAATCCACAAAATCCTCCGTTTCTTTGTTTTATGATTAGCTATAGATTATATTTAGACACATATACCTGTACTACAAAATAAAGTACATCCCTACAAAAATAATCCATTAAAAGTTAATGTTGACTCGAACTCGAACTGTAGTTCAAATAAATGCATTTTTATGTCAATGCAGGTTGTTTTTCATTTTTTTATTTAGTTTTAAAAACTGCACCAATAAAAAAAATCGCCCTATATATTTACTAAAAATATGTACCTAAATCTTGGTCTTCCCATGTTTGCTTGGCCTCAAGTAGTGCGTTGAACACCTCTCTGCTGGGCTCAGTCCCGCTGAAGACATAATAACGAGCTCGAATTCGCTTGAAAAACTCAACGTTGGTATAGTTTGAATTTCCGTGGTGAGGAACATACGTCAAGTCCATGTACACAGGTGAGATGGACTTTGATTTGGCATCCTTATTGGAAGCCCGTTTAACAGGTGACTCAGGATGCTTCGATTTGTTACTTGCTTCTTTACCTATAAGAAAATAAAAGTTTTCAATGAAAGCAAAAACCATGCTAAAAGTCGTAAGATAATTTAAATTTATTATTTTTTGATAATTGGACATTAATTAAGTGCATTTATTAAGTCCATGAATTACGTATTTAAACTCAGTGGTGTGATTTGTATTAAAATAAAAACAACATCACCTTATCCTTTCAAACAAATATTAACTAATCTTTAAATCAATTAACTCATAAACTAAAAACTTAAATATACTGAGGGAGTTTTGGAATGAACTTCCAACCAATAATTTGAATAAAAAAATCTCTGTATGACAAGCATCGAACCCTTCATTCCAAACCTCTAGATTCCTGTAGGTTATGAAACCTTCAAAGGTCACATGGGTTATGGGGACAAGCTAACCCAAATTATTATGAAACTCTAAACATGTTCAGTAAAGATAAAATCGATTTAGAGATTTGTAATAGTTAATTACCTAATTAATAAAAATCAGAACTTCTGGTAAAGAAAACATAGTTTGATTTATTTTTTTAAGTAATAAAATTTCAAACTTTAATACTAATATTTATGTAGGTAAATATTTAAAGGAAAAATGAATCAGTACACAACTACATTACCCAAGAAAAGAGTTCCAGGCAGCATATAAAACACAGAATATAAAAAATTCACAACAAATTAATTTGGTATTTGTAACCATTTACATTGTGGCTTCTTTAGGAGGAAGACATTACTGTCAAATATCAAATGAGTATTGATGTGAACTTGTTATATGCTGTTACAATATCACTGCTTGGAACACTTTTCATAGTTTTTTTTTTTTTTTTTTTTTTTTTGTCCTAGGACGCTAGGCACGAGCCTGGGATTGTTTTTCACATTACTTCAGGCTAGACCTAGGGGTTGCGGCATTATCACTTAGATAAAATCCATTGGTGACTTGGCGGGGATCGAACCCGGGACCTCACGGACCGAAGTCTCGCGCTCTAGCCACTACGCCAGCTCGCTCCCCCTTTTAACTTTTCATAGTTAAGTTAGTTGTGAATCCTTTTCTTCTTTTTTTTTTGTATTTTTAAGAGGGGTCTCCTCATGGAACTTAATTATGTAAATATTTGTAATTAAATACAATTTTAAATTAAAATACATCAATTCAATTACAAAATATATTGAATCAACTTATTAAACTTACCTATTAATGTGTTAGAAGCAGACTTGTTATTTTCAGCATTCCTTCTGGCAACCTTCTTTGGTGTTGTTTTGTTACTGGTAGATGTTATTTCAGCGTCAATTTCACCATTCATAGAGTCTTTCTTGACAGCTGGGGGGGCAGGGGAGGGCAGTCCTAGGGGAATACCCCACTCATCTGCTGGGTTCCACACCAGAGTTAGAGTACTTTGGCTGAGAGGTGAATCAATTAGATTCTTCGGTGGTGGAGGAAGTCCGAGAGGTTTGCCCCATCCCTCGATGGGATCTTTCTTTTCTTCAACTGATGGTTTGGAGGAACTACTTGAGCTAGTTTCAGTGACAGGGAGAGACGGTACAGCTTTGGACAGTATGGTTGAGCTAACGGCCGAAGAAGATTGACTTACTTGGTATTCAAGACTATCTGGTTGTGAGCTTTTACCGTTGCTTAACCCGTTAGTGCTTGTACCACCATGACTCGACTTCCCATTGACAGTAGTCTCAGATTTACCGTTTGTGTATTTTACTGTCAGATCCTCGCCTCTTACTGATCTGTGTTCTTTTATTGCAGTTTCAAAATCAATATCTTCGGTTTTAGTTTGTTGAACTCCAGACAGAATTTTAGAGCCACTAAGCACAGGTTTATGCTCATCTTCACTCTCATCGTCATCACCGTACTTGCTCACGTACATTGAAGAATACATCTGACTCTCAACAGGCAAATTCTTACTCTTCATGTATTCCTCCAGAGGATCATCAGGGAGGCTACCGTACAACGAACCAGTCATAGCTGCAGGTAGAGAAGAGTCTTTAGAAGCATGCTGATGAATATCAAAGTCAAACTGAGGAGGAGACTGGGCCAGATGTGATGTCGCACTCATTGGAGAGCAGGGGACATCATCATCACTGTCACAATGGCGAGAGTCAGGTCTGCCCTCGCTACTCTCTCCCCACACATGAGTCGCTGCCCTAGAGACTTGCCCACTACTGATGTCACTGTGTGGAGTTGAAATACCTCCCATCTCGAGCTCTCGTTCACTCGCCAAGTCTGATGCTGGCGTACCACTTCTCCCAGCATCAGACACTTCTCTCTTCAATGATTGAACCCCAGATGAAACTATTTCACTTTTCTTCACTGTTTTTTCAATGTCTGTATGTGATATTTCTCCTGTAGAGGGCACAATTTCTTCGGTTGTTTTGATGTCGGTGCTTGGATGTTCACCAAATGTCTTTATGACTGTTGTCGTTATAGTTTTTACAACATCACTTGGTTTTGTGCTTTCATTGATTTGAGGTTCCTTGCCATCTGTTGAGTATACTGTTGTAGTAATAATTGTTTTTTCAGGTGGCAATTCGGCTTCCTTTGTCGAAAATCCTGCAGTTTCTTGTTTTTCAGCGGAAAATGTTGCCACATGATCGGGCTCAGATTCATCTTCTTGAGAGACATGTGCTACGTTTCCTAAGTTTTTATCAAGAGAACTACTTGACAACTTCCTTACAGAACTCGAACAAAGCTCTGTCTCAGTACCGCCATCTTCACTACTACCAGTAACAAGCATTCTATGAACGGATGAGATTTCTTCCTTCATCGAACTTGCAGATTCCGTATCATCAACTTTACTACTACTTAGAGAACTAACATCAGCTGAATGAAGGCCGCTCTTTGTTTCAGTAATACCAGTAGATCTCTGTTCAGCAGTTGAATTTGCTGAACTGTCTTTAACACTTGAACCAGATGAACTTTCATTTAATGTTGAATGTAGGCCAGGGCTTATTAAATTAGAAGGCACTAAACTTTCAGAATCAGATTTAATATCCTTTTCAGTCTTTATACTCTTACTAGCTAATGGCTTTTCAATCACAGTATCCTCCCCTGTAGACGAAGCACTTATATTATTAGTGTCCTCTTGACCATTAACTGGTGAATGTGTTTCACTTGAAGTAGAAACCTCTATACAACTTAATTTGCTACTTTCTAATTGGTTATCTTTTATTGAAGTGTCTCTTTCATTTTCAACAATTTTAATATCACTACTTATCTGATCCAGAGATGATTCAATTGCAATTTTATCAATCGCTGAAAAAGATTCTAAGTTTGATTTTAAATTCTTCTCTTCAGGTTCTGTAAGCTTACTTGAAATTATATTTTCTTCTTGTTCTTGGCTATGAGTGACACCAGTTCCTTGACCACTTTGCAGTTCAACTGTAGATGAAGCTTCTTTCAAAACTGTGGCTAGTATGATTTTATCCTTTTCTTTTTCCGAGAGTTCAGTGTCAGCTTTTTCGGTTTCAGTAACAGACACACTACTAGTTTTTGAACTAACCATATCACTGTGTGATGAGGGACTTTCCGATTGTTTAATGTCGGTTACATCACTTTTAACGCTAATGACATCTTTGGATGGGACAGGCACATCTTTTAAAGACAACTCCTTTTCTGACGGTTCAGAACTATCCTTATCACTGGGTAAGGGACTAATGCTTTTTGGAGTGTCTTGTTTTTCACACCCAGTTTCTTTTACTAATCCTTTGGTATCCTCTTTATCACTAGGCAGTGGACTTATGCTTTTAGGAGAGTCATGTTTTTCTGAACCCGACAGTTCTTTTTCAGCAATTTTAACTTCCTTATCTGAAGGCACAGGGCTAATGCTTTTAGGTGACTCCTGTTTTACTGAATCTAAAGTTGCTTTGTCTCCTAAATTCAATTCTCCATGATCCGAATGTGTGGGACTGATGCTTTTAGATATCTCAAGTTTTTCTGAAGACTCTCGTGCTTTTTCGTCAACTTTATTTTCTCCCTTATCAGAAGGCACAGGACTAATACTTTTGGGAGAATCCACTTTGTCTGTAGGTGCTTGCTCCTTGCCACCAGATTGCCCTTCTGAAGGTACAGGACTGAGGCTTTTTGGAGTTTCAATAGTTCCACAGAATGTCTGCTCCTTGGTATATATCGGGCTAACACTTTTAGCACCGCCTTGTGTTTCTAAGAGGGTTTGCTCATGTTCTTTACCATTTTCCTTGATATCAGGGCTACCATGTTTTTCAAGTATTGTTTCACCTTTCTCTTTTCCTTTGTCTACCGAATCTACTGGGAGGGGGCTTACACTCTTAGGGGAATCCTGATTGTCAAAAGAGGTTTCTTCTTTACGAGGTTTCTGGTCACCACCCTCACCAGAGTGCACCGGACTACTGGCTTTTGGAGTATCATGTTTTTCTAAAATTGTTGTTTGCAACTCTGTTTTTTCATCAAGTACCCTAACAGAAAGTTCTGGACTCATGCTCTTTGAAGAAGCAATGTTATCTTCTTTTTCAGAGAGCAATGGACTGATACTTTTTTGAATCAAACTATCCTCTACAACCACTTGTTCCTTATGATCATCAATAACCTCTTTCTCTGACTGCACAGGACTAAGCCTCTTTGGAGTATCAAGCTTCTGTGAAGAATCAGGTTGTTTGCTTTGACAGACGAAATCTTCCTTTTCAGATGGTACAGGACTAATGCTTTTAGGAGTAGCTATATTTTCTAGCATAGTGAGTACTTTACCATCAGATAAAGTTTCTGCTTTCTCGGAGGGTACAGGACTTATGCTTTTTGGGGAGACTTCTATTGATCCCTTCTGTAGAATAGTTTGATCATTACCTAATAAAATGGTATCTTTTTCTTCAGACGGAACAGGGCTTACACCTTTTGGCGACCCCTCTTTCTCCAAGCAAGTGGATTCTTTTCCATCTGATACAACTTCTACTTTTTCTGATACGACTTCTACTTTTTCTGATGGGACAGGACTAACACTTTTTGGGGAAAGGTGCTTCTCCATCAGAGTTGATTCTTTCCCATCAGACTTGCTATCTTCTTTCTCTAATGGCACAGGGCTAATGCTTTGTGGGGAAACTGACTCTTGTACAGTATTCTGTTCCTTGGTGTGAGTGATGTTATCTTCTTTCTCTACAGGTACAGGAGTAACACTTTTTGGAGAAGTTTGCTCTTCTAAAATTGTTTTTTCTATTCTGTCAGAAAGAGTTACTCCTGTCTCTGATTGTGTAGGACTGATGCTTTTTGGAGAAATTTGTTTCTCTCCTGGTTCTTTGTCACGAGGAAAGCTTTCTTTTTTCTCTGTAGGTTCAGGACTAACACCTTTTGGAGAGGACTGTTTCTCCAATACAGTTTGTGCAGACACTTCTTTTTCAGATGGTACTGGACTTAGACTTTGAAGCGGTGAAGTCTTCTTCTCTAAATCTGTCTTTTCCTTGTCATCAGAAATGCTGTCTGTTTTCTCAGAATATACAGAAGTGATACTTTTTTGAGAAACCTGCTTCTCTAAATTAACTTGTTCTTTACCATCAGCTACAATCTCCATTTTATCTGGTACATCAGAGCTGCCACCTTTCTCAGGAATAGTTTCTTCTTTGTCCTGAGGAATAGTATCAATTCTTTCAGAAGATACAGGACTAACACTTTTAGGAGGGGTCTGCTTCTCTATAATGTTTTGTTCTTTTGTGTCAGATGAGGAGTCTCCCTTTTCAGCTGGTACAGGACTTATGCTTTTTGTAGAAACTGATTTCTCTGTAACACTCTGTTCCTCACTGGTTGTAACACTGCTGATTTCTTTAGCAGACAGAGGTATCTCACTTTCGAGAAAAGTATTTTTTACTGAGGTAGGTTGTTCCTTTTCATCACATTTCACTGCCTCTTTCTCTAGTGACTCTTGATTAATGATATTTGGAGAGATTGGTTTCTCTTGTAAAGATTGTTCTTTATCATGAACATTACTGTCTTCTTTTTCTGTTGGCGAAGGACTTGCACTTTTAGAAGAGGACTGCTTCTCTAATACAGCTTGTGCTTTATCATCGGTTACAATGTCTCCTTTTGTCGATGGTTCAGGACTTACGCTTTTTTCAGAGACAGGCTTCTCCAAATCAGTTTGTTTCTTATTTTCAGGGATGCTGTCACTCTTATCAGAAGGCACAGGACTTACACTTTTAGGAGAGTCGTGCTTTTCTAAAGAGTATTGTTTCTTTCCATCAGTAACAGTATCCCCTTTCTCCGATATTACAGGGCTAATGCTTTTGGGAGTTGCAAGATTCTCAATGGGTTGTTCCTTATCCTGAGGAATACTATCCATTTGTTGGCAGAGATCATGAGATATGCTGTCCCTTTTCTCGGAATGTACAGGGCTCACACTTTTTGGTGATACCTGTGTATCTAATTTGGTTTTTTCCTTTTCATCAGCTTCTTTTTCTGATGGTGCAGGGCTGATACTTTTCGGAGTGACTGACTTATCTTGCATAGTTAGATCCTTGTCATTTATAACACTGTCTCTTTTTTCAGAAGGGACTGGGCTAATACTTTTTGGAGTGACTGATTTCTCTTGCATAGGTAGATCCTTATCATTTATAACACTGTCTCTTTTTTCAGAAGGTACTGGGCTAGTACTTTTTGGAGTGATTGGTTTATCTTGCATAGTTAGATCCTTATCATTTACAACACTGTCTCTTTTTTCAGAAGGTACTGGGCTAATACTTTTTGGAGTGACTGATTTCTCTAGCATAGTTAGATCCTTATCATTTACAACACTGTCTCTTTTTTCTGATGGTGCAGGGCTAATACTTTTTGGAGTGACTGATTTCTCTAACATAGTTAGATCCTTATCATTTAAAACACTGTCCCTTTTTTCAGAAGGTACTGGGCTAATACTTTTTGGAGTGACTGATTTCTCTTGCATAGTTAGATCCTTATCATTTATAGCACTGTCTCTTTTTTCAGAAGGTACTGGGCTAATACTTTTTGGAGTGACTGATTTGTCTTGCATAGTTAGATCCTTATCATTTATAACACTCTCTCTTTTTTCAGAAGGTACTGGGCTAATACTTGTTGGAGTGACAGATTTCTCTTGCAGAGTTAGATCCTTATCATTTATAACACTGTCTCTTTTTTCAGAAGGTACTGGGCTAATACTTTTTGGAGTGACTGATTTCTCTTGCATAGTTATATCTTTATCATTTATAACACTGTCTCTTTTTTCAGAAGGTACTGGGCTAATACTTTTTGGAGTTACAGATTTCTCTTGAATAGTTTGATCCCCATCAATAGTAATACCGTGCCTTTCTTCAGAAGGTACTGGGCTAATACTTTTCGGAGATATATGCTTCTCTAGAATTGAATTTTCGTCTTCTCCAGCATGACTCTTTTTTGCATCCCTAACGATATCTTCTTTTTCATAGAGTGTTGGACTAACACTCTTTGGAGTACTATGTTTGCTATCCCCCTTCTCAGAAGATGGAAGAGGGCTCTTAGGAGAGCCCGTTTTTGTTTCTTCACTTTGTTCTAATTCTTCAGTTTTTGAAGCACCTGTGTCAATAGACAAAGGACTGGTGCTTTTATATGTTTCGACTTTCTCTATGCTTGATGGTAATTTCTCAGCCTCAATTTTAACATTTTGTGTCTGCTTAGAGTCTTGTTTGTTGTCAATTGATAAAGGCAGAGTGTCACCCTCTTCTAAATGAGATGTTTCATTTTCTTGTTTACTAGGCACATTGGTAGCTTGTGTTATTCCATGAATTTCTGTTACAGGTAAATTCCCCTCCTCTGCTTTCTCCTCAGACCTCTCTTGAGAAACAAAACCGATTGCTTTAGGAGAGTCATCCTTATCTAGAACAGTTGCTCCTTTATCTAATAATTTAGATTGTTCTACTGGCCTATCCTCAGGTGCTTCTTGTTTATCTGTTTTACCTGTATCTTCTGGAAATATTTTGTCAGTATTAGTTAAAAGACTGCCCAGATCTGAAGGTTGTGCTTTAGTTGCCTCTTCAGCTCCTTTTTTCGATGACTGATCATCTCCTTCTGCAATGATTATTTCCTCTGGACTAATACATTTTTCGGTCTCCAGTTTTTCATTGACAGTCTGTTCTTGGTCTAGCTTTGGAGATTCTCCTAAACCTTCAGCAACAAGCGGGCCTACTCTGTCCAGAGATTTGGACTTGTCTACTAATAATTCCTCCTCTTGTGACTTCTGGGGATCACTCTTTATATCGGAACATGTTGTAAGTTTATCAGGTAGTTCTGAAACATTTGATTTAGAATTACCAGCATCTTGATACTTCACATCACTTTCCTGGACATCAGTACTTTTTTCAAAAGAATCAATTTCTTTTTCCGGTATAGAGGGAAGTTCTGTTTCATGTGAAATAATATCCACAGATTTTGTTTCATCTTCTAGAACCACTTTATTCATTTCACTCACAAGTTGATTATCAAATTCCACTCGATCCTTTGTGGCTTGTGTTATGATGTTATCTAATTCCTCAGGTTTGATAAGACTAGCACTTTCTAGGATAGGTTTTTGATCAGTTTTTAACTTAGTTGCATCTAAAGTTTCTTGTGCTTCATGACTACCAATCACATCCTTTGAGATCTCAGATAACTCTGTAACCTCTGGTATAACATTAATTTGGTCTTTTTCTTTGGTAAAATCTTCAAGAATTGGACTAGCTGGAGGAGTTTTGGGTGAACTTATTGGCTTTTTAAGGTCCATTACTATGTCTAAAGATTCTTCAATTTCCCCATGTTTAATTGTAGGCGGGCTCTCATCTGTTTTAGAGGCTGCATCAATTGTAGGCTTGTCATCAAGTTTATCCTTCTTCTCTGTTAACAAATGCAGGGGTGATTCTGGAGCTGAATCAGGAGTCACCATGACTAGTTCAGCTACTTCGGGTGCTTTTAGCATAGAGTGCACAGGTTCCGTTTCAAGAACCATTTCATGCTTTGATTCAAGGTCTAAACCCTTAGATAGCAGTTTTTGGTCAGCCTCGATTTGTTCTTGTTTAAGATCTTCTGCCTCAAGCTTTTGTCGAATATTTGTCAATTCATTTAGTTCTTCATTGTCTGTTTTAGCATCTTTGGTTTGTATCTCTTTTTCTTTGGCGTCATCTTCAGCCAATACTGTGTCTGGTTTTTTTATTTGTTCATGTGCTTCTAACACATTCTTGTTTTCAGTCAAACCTTCTTTTGTATCTTCCTTTGTATCCATATCTTTTTTGCCACTAATGTTAAGCAAGTCTTCTTTACTTTTTGATTGGTCTCGACTAAAATCTTCCTCCTCATATAATCCATCAACTTCTTCATGAACTGGTAAGTCTGCCACTTCATCAGGAGTTTTCACAATATCTCTAAGAATTTGTGATGCCTGAACCTCGTAGGGCCCCCCTGGTACAATGGAAACCTGAGGTAATGTTGTCGGCTGCTCTATTCTTCCAGACAAAGCTCCGATTTCTTTTTCTTTTGTGTCTTCCTTATCATACTTCTCTTCTATACCTTCCTTTATTTCATCTAACGGTATCCTCTCGTCCTCAGGAAGAGTTGGAGCTGTTGTTGCACCTGATTCAACCGTTGTAGACATTTTCTCATCAGGCTGACTTTCCTCTGCTGCATATCTTACATCTCCGATTTCCTTAGACCTGTCTTTCAAATCATCTTGTTTGTTGTCATCATCAGTCAAGTTTTTATCAGATAACCCGGGGAACTTTTCCGGACTGGAGAGAAGATCTTTTGTTTCCCCTGATGTCTTTTGTTCATCAGAACCAATCCCATCAGCAGAAAGTTCAGAACTTTCTTTGGATTGCTCTAATTTGGCTTTTGCAACAAAATCTGTGGCAGATGTTATAATATCTTGTACTTCTTCTTCAATCTGTTCTCGGTTTTCTGGAGTCATGACCTTTTCTGTTGAAATCTCTTTTACTAATGACAGAGGTAAATCACTTGGTTTAGCTGGTTCACTTATATCTTTCTCTTCAAGTAAGGTACCTTTTTCAATTTGATCGTCATGTAATACAACATCATTTTCTTCAATGTCTTGACATTCTTCAGTTTTAGGTTGGTCGTCCTTCTTTTTTTCAGATTCCGCTTCGTCGCGTAAATGTTTTTGGATTTCGTCTTCTCCATCATCAGGAACATGGGATTCTAAGCTCTCTTGATCTTGAACAGAATCATCGCCGTATTGTTCAATTTCAACCTTTTCTATTATTAAAATTTCATCCTCTTCTTCTTTTTCGCTATAATCCTTTTCACTAGTTTCTATGCGATGTTCTTCCGGTTTTTCAACACTAGCTACATCTTCACTCACACTGGCTTCTTCAGCTTTATTCTTTACTTCAACAGATGTGTCAATATCTTTGCTAGTGTCATCTTCTACTTTTTCATTTTCTTCAAATTTCCCCGAGTCAACATCCTTCTCAACAAGGCCATTTGTTTTTTCTTTGAGTTCAACTTTTTCTTCCTTTGTTATTGCAGTTTCAGCATCAACTGTTGAGGGAGTTGAAACTGCGGATGAGTCTGTTACAATACCCTTTTCAATTTCACCTTTCAGCTTTTTACTATCTCTTTTAGTTTTTGAAAGTGTTTTCGATGCGCTTTTAACAGGTGAAAATGATTTAGACGGCAATTTTACCGGCGATGAGGATAAAGTCTTCTTAATAGGTTTTTTGTCTAGCTTTTGTTTTACCACATTATCATCTTTTTTTGACTGTCTAGGTGCAGTGGGTTTAGAGGTGATTGCTGCCTTTGCTTTTGATTCAACGACCTTTCTATTGTTCTCTTCTTTGGTACTTTTTGCAGGAGTGGACGATGGTGATGTTTTCAGTCTTGGTTTTGGTGTACTCTTCACTATTTCTGTTTTTGAAGCGACTCCATTCATTTTTGATTCAACACTTTTTTTCGGTGTAGTCGGAGATGATTTAACTGAATCTTTCTTTTCCACTGAAGGTACTTTTGCCGGTTTCTTTTCTGATATTCGAGAAGTAATTTTGCTTTCGGTTTTCTTAGGTTTATTTTCAGCCTTTGTTTTTTCATTCTTCATTTTTATTGATTCTTTTTCTTTTAACTGATCTGTAATTAGTAGTGGTTTGTCTTGCTTTACATTATCTGTAGCATCAGCTTCAATGTTCTTATCTACTTCGGTTTTATTATCTTTTTCAACTTTCAGTTTTTCCTGCTTCTGCTTTACAGTCTTAGGAGGAGCTGGCTGTGTTGTTTTGATTTTTGTCTCACCGGAGCCAGACACAGGTATTGTAGAGGTTTTGGCTACAGCTTGTTTACCCACAGAATCTGCTTGTGTTATCCCTTTAGATATAGGTTTACTGAGGCCTTCACCAGGGACCAATTTATCTATTACAGCAGGAGTGGATTTAGTTTTGGTTACCTTTGTACTTATACCCGTTGTTGAAGATGATGGTGAAAGTGTTTTAGCTGTACATACTGGCTGCTTCATGAAGTCAAGACTACGTAGCTTCTCTAATCCCTCAAAGATTTTATGCTGAGGGGTGCTGCCCGGAAAAAGAATCCTTGTAATTGTATCTTCAGGGTTTGCAGGTTGCCACACTAAGAGTGCACATATTGAGACAAGATTTTGGAAAGGAAAACTAATGTCTTTGTCACCAGGCTTTCTTGATACACTATTAAACATCGAAACGTCGTTTGAATTCCACTTTGATAAAAATTCTTTCAGTTCTTTACTGTCTCTAGATGGACTAATGACATACATGTCCAGTTTGCCATGTCCAACCTTGTGGTACAGATTGATAGGTTCCAATACTGAATCTCGCACACAGTTGTGGGGTTTCAGCTGAAGGTGTTTAAGGTTCTGGACCATTTCCTGTCCCTCGTCAAGCAGGCTGACCAGTAGTGGGTCTCTGACTTTCTCCTCATCCGGTGTTGAAGGCTGCTTTCTTTCCTGGCAATACAATAACTTCTTTTAATAACATTATTTTGTGAATACTGGGCTACATAGCTAAAATACATACCTACCAAGCTTGAGAAAACTATAGTACAATTTGTCAACATTCATCGGATTTAATGTATAAAGAAATTGAAAAAAACATTAGCTATAGTAAGTAAGACCTTTCACTATATTCTGAACATGTAAAGAGAAAAATTATTCATAAATAATGTCAATATGTTATCACTCTAATGTTAAATCTAAGTGACTTTTGTTAGGAGCATTAAGAAGAAAGTCATCAATTTTCACCACTTAGCAAGGTTTTACTATTATTTTGAAGTAAGTTTAATCAAGTAGTTACTAATAAAACCTTTAGGACTTCTCTATATACGAGACCTGCAAATTACAGAAGAAGTGTCCAATCTGTGGGTAGACGTGAGAGAGCCTCTTGCGACGGAGGATGGAAGACAATCCATGGCAGTTGCTGTTGTTGATCCTTGTCATCAAGACAGCGTCCAAGCGGTCCAGGTGGCGCACAAAGTCCCAGAAACATGCCTACAACATGAGAAGAACAGTAAGGCTTTGTCCTCAGAAGAAAAAGCTCTGAACAATAAACTAAAAGACCTCACTCATCGTACTATTAACTTTTTACTATTTAATGATCTGTATAGCACCATCTAAAAGACAGTGAAATAATTTTTGGTTGTATGTTTCACTGGCAAGCGAGTGGTGACAGCAGAGGCAGTGATAATACAGTATTGAAGAAAATAAACAAATTCAGAATCAACCTTTGAATATTTCAAGCAAAATTTCAAAATTTCAAAAATAGAGGTGTTTTGATTGTTATTTGGTTCTAGAAGAACGAGGAACATTATCAACATTTTTTGTGAACTTTTGGTAACATATGATTTGGACGACAGATCCTTTTTGAAAATTATTATACATTAAACATTAAGAGGTTTATTGACAATGAGGAATCTTTTATACAGAGCAAACATCAAAATTAATAAGTCTTATAATTTAATTAAGTATACAATTTTCTGTGTCATTGGCAACCTTTTTTTAAGGCAGATGTGTTTATTTTTTTTTTTTTACATATAAATTCTTTACTCTGTTCTTCTACTGCCAATGTTAAGCTTATCAGCCCAAGATGCTCACTGAGCTATCATGTTCGATATACTGTATAAACTTAAACATGGGTCTCAGTGCCTTGAATTCTGCCTTAGTTTGTGATTTTTACTTCTAACTCAGCTGTTGACACCAAAAATTCATTTGACGAATAGTCGTTTCTGACTGTCAACAAAACTAATATTGTTCTATAATGGATGATTTTCATTGGTAGAAAAATAACAACAATAACGTACAAAAATAATATAGTTCTCTATAATACTCACCTTCCTGGCAAAGCCTCCATCGACAAGCATGTTGAATCCATTGATTCCAAACAGTGCAGCGTCACCTTGACCTCCTGGGAATACATAGAGAGTTGGGTGGCTGAATCTGATGTTGCCAACCTACAAGGAAAAAACTTTCATTGTAAAAAATTAATAAGTTTTATCTTCATATTGTGTGGTTATCAGATAACACAGAGAATCAGCTGCCATTAAAATAGGAATGCACATAAAAAATAAAAAAAATTATGTTAAATACATTAAGCTTGATTGTTTTTTGAAAATTCATACTTCACTCATATTTGCGGTAAAATATGCATGGTCAGTCAAACAATACATTTTAATTTAATCTATTCTCAATGTTCCAAGAACTAACCACATCGGATGGATGTAGTAGCTTGTCGATAGATTGAGGCTGCACGAAGGGTGCAAGGTAGTCTACGAACTGTTGTATGTTGGCGGCTGGGCTAGGTCCGTCGTCAGGGTTGACTCGGACGCGACACAGTCGGGTGCACGCCTCACGCCGCAGCCGCGCGGTGCTCCAGTCCCCTTCGGGCGCGCAGTGGATGTCCACTGTGACAGAGTGTTCGTAGGCGCGCAGCACTCGTTGCACTTCTGTCTCTTGTAGCGCGTCGATCAAGTCGGCAAGAGAAAAGGTGCCATCCTGCGTAAAAGCATAGATTAAACATACATAAGTTGTGTTTACAGGAAGCCAGTAGGCAGGCCGAGTTCTTTTGCTCAGCGAAGTTTGACCTCAGGCAAGTTGCCTCAGGTAACTTGAAATACACTGAGGAAGATGCCCTGCCTACTGTTGTGATCAACTGAAGCTAATCGCCTGAAAAAAGAAACTTCAACAAACCATACGCAAACCAAACATATATTCTGTCCAGTTCGTGTAGTGGTCCATTATGTTGTTTACATTTTGATACTGCAATTACTTTCCATCATATTTAAAAATTTAAAACAATTAACAATTAATTTGTATATTTTACACAGTTTTATCGTGGTAACTACCACATGAGTATCTGTAGTAGGCTGAGTTCCTTGGTTCACAAAGTGTACTCTAAATTAGAGTAAGTTTTTAAGACTAATTTATTCATTTTTTTGTCTCACAGAGGACCAGCAATATTGTACAAATAGGTAAACTTGTTGAATGTAGTAAGTAAAAAAGTAGTAAAACAGCAGTAAAAACTGTACTATAATATTCTAGACATTACAAGAGATAAACATAAAAAATATCCCAGCCGCAGCAAACCTGCAGACTAATAGAATTTCCATTTGCCTGAATTGATTTTCAGATTAGTCTATTTAAATAACAAGGTTAACGAATACCTAGGTTTGGCTGCAACAGGGATGCTAACTAACAAAGTATATTTTTAGTAAAATATTAATAGCCTAGTATAAAATAGCAAAATTTGCCAAGTTAAAATATATCTATTTTATTCATCATTGCGTGGCAAAAATATATCCACAAACAAGCAAACTACAACTAATTTACAATATTCTCCATAAGAATAAAATGGGAATTTTAAAATTACGATCTTTTGAATATTCTCCGTAACTAATAACCGAACAAAAAAACTTTAATGTACTAAATTATTTGTTTTTTAAGCTCTTTAAATTGGTCTAGTGAGAAACCAGGAATTTCTTTGTTTTTAGGGTAAATAAAGAGAAAAACAAACTTTTACCCTATAAAACACCCCATAAAATCCCGTTCCATAGCCCGATCATGCTGGTTCGCAAACTCATTCAAGTTTATCTTTCCTTACACCTCAAAGCCAAATTTAATCAAAATCGGACAAAAATTACTCAAGTTATCATGTTCACAGACACACACACATTAGAGAAATTTGCTAAAATACCGTATTGAATGATATCAGTCCAAACAAAAAATTAAAATGATAAAATCATACAGGTAATCCAATACAAAAGTCAACATAGTATTCATCCAAAGTTGTATAGAATACACAATTTACTTCTATGCCCTTGATAAAATGTTAATGGCTAGGGTGCATTACTGTGAGCAAGATTTTATGTGATGGGGTGTAAAGGTCAAGACCTTTTCTGTCTTGAATTATAGTCAGTCCTTCTCATACTGTATATGGTCCTGCATTGTCACATGGCCATGACATAGTAAACTCTCGTTAATCTGAATTCAATTAACACAGTCTTAGCTTAAAACAGAAAACTATTTGATAGCGGTTTTTCTTAAATTCTAGTTTAAGACAGAAGGAGGTCTAAGAGGCAAAACCTGAGAGTTTAAAATGGTAATTTATTATGCATTAGTGCCATGAGTTTCAGAGTCCTTGGAAGTCCATCTGTAGACGGAAAGATGGGTATCTTACGCATAGAAATATCTCCGCTGTAGATTTCTGTTTACCAAAAACTATACAATACTTAAACAATTATTGTATGGATTCAGGCACAAGTTTGAAGGCCCAAAGCCCTTAAGTACTATACTTCAAACCTGGACGATCCAGGAGCCATTGCCTGCGAAGGTATAGCCAGCGTGGATGATGTGTCGGTGTTTAGTGAAGCTACTCAGCAAGTTCCTGATGCACTGTATCAGGGTGTTCAGTTGAGGTTGGATCAGCACTTCGGTCACTAGGTTCTCACTGGCAAACTGGATCAGCCGTTCTCCTAAAGACACATTCATTCATCAGAACCGTTGAGGGGTCAAGCAAACCAACCGGCCAAAATTGGAGTTTTTACAAACAAGCGATGGAGTGGCATTTATTGTATTTGTAAAATGATAAGATGTTAAATTAAACTGGTGCTATTATTGGTTGGTTCTCACTATTAAAGTAGGTAAGCTGTTCCCTTAAAGAAACACCCATCCTTCAGGATCAGTGAAGGGGCAATCTATTATATTATTAAAGTGATACAATCAAATTTTATGTAAACGGTTAAGGTCATTTCCTAAATAAAAATATAGGCATATGGCACATCAAAATGAAGCTTAGAGTGCGTAGATTTGCCGAAAAGTATTGATATGGACAAATTTCCTAAGGGCTCTGCCCCACAGGCTGATTTCCAAAGGGCTACGCCTGGCATGCTTCCAATGTTTACATGATTTAATTTAATTTAGTTACCATAATGAAACAGCTGGTCAATACAATGAACTGGTGTTTGTTTATTTACTCAATAAGATGTTTGTGAAGCTTTATGTTGATTAAATAGGGTTATGTTTGGTTTTAAAGTGAGGTTGAATACATTTTGTAAAGTATTGCTCAAAGCTGATTTTTTTTATTTATATAGTAATCTACATGTGAAGAGGCTTGAATAAAATTGAAGAAAATGGTAAAACATCAATATAAAGCAATAATTTATGCTATTGCTACACTAAGGTATGTTATAATATTCTTAGGGATCTATTAACATCAAAAGTAGGGGTTTGAAAGTAAGCAGGTTTACGTTTTTAAACCAGTTTATATTTTCAAACTAAATCATAGAGTTGCTGTATTTTAAAACACTCATCAGCACCACTTTAATAGCTCTCTAGGACACATTTTCTTCCCGTTGCAAAGCATGGGTATAGCAGCTTGTACAAATATAAACCTAGAGATTACCAAAAACGTTTAAGGAGAAGTACAGTATTGGCTATTACGGTGATGTGCACATTAAAAAGTACTTAACAAATTGCTCTCAATTCTTGCAATTACAAACATCCATAAAGAACAATTTTGGACTTCCACTTCTATCTAATCATTATACTTTTACACTATGAATATGTATTAGCCTATAATATTTAGTTAAGTTACGACACAAGAACCAAGATTAAATTTCACGCAGGAATTTATTATTAAAGCTTTAGTTTATTAGTTATATATTGAAAATAATTTGTCAACTACTGCCACTCTTGGATAAGTCTTCAGTTAAATAATCTACAGATAAGTCGACTTACATAGTCATTGAACTCATTAATTGTCACCCGGACTGCTATAGAATCGGTTAAGAACACTTGTAAGTTTGGTAATCAAAATTATGAATGTTTTATTTTGTCACTAAAACTTTATTTAAAGTTATTGAAAAAAACAACCTAAAGATAAAGTCTCTAGATGCATAACATCATCAGAGGTGGCCATGCCATTAATGGTAATGGTCTACTATTTCATAAAAATTTCAAGGATATAACAAACTCATGTTGGAATTTAATATTAGGATATACAGTATGTAAAGTAATAAATTTACATGGAAGAGGATTAACTATTCAGCGAGTTTTACTCAATTAACAGACTGTCAAAGCTAACCTTAAATTCGTTATAAGCCTTTTCCATTTCTGTCTCTGATAAAAGTAATGGAATTGAAAAATCTTAAAAAGGTTAACAGTCAAACATTGGTTTGGGAATATGTTTGTAGATAGGATTTGAAGTATTTTGTATTTATTAAAAATTATTTAAATTACATTTTAAGAAAATTTTTAATATTTCAAGCATTAAGTATAGCGCAAGTAATGCCACACAAAACACTAAAACATAGAGAAACCAGACATACTAGGAAACCAAAATTTTCTTCAATTAGATCAAAATTGTAATTTAAAGGCTTTATGATAAAAAAGTAAAATAAAAAATAAAAAATGCTGATTCATACCGATATCAAAACTTTCCATCTAGTGTGATCATCGGTTTTATTGCTCGTACCCACACAGAATCCGACTTCTGTGCTACTCACAGACAATCTAAATACAAAATCTTTTGGCAAATAGTGGTGAATATCATCCCTTACCATTCCTGGCCTCTTCGCCCTCAGGGGCTGCCGAGATGATAGCCTGAAGTTCCTTGTCCAGGTCAACATGGCAGGAGTCTACGTCCCAGGAGAGGAATCCTGCAACACAATACACCACGCATTAGTTATCAATAAGAATTGTAAATTGTAAAAAAATTCTTACAAAAGAAGTGTAAGAATTGTATATTATCAATTTTCAATTCTTTGAGACTGCGATGCTTACTTGGGTGTGTATTTCAAGCTGTCTATCTGAGGGGTCATCCCATGTATCTACAGGGTGTCCCGGAACTCTCTACCAATATTTTAGGGCATTCATTCTGGGTAAGAAACGTACCTAAACATCATATTTACATTGTCCGGAAGTCCTTGGTTACTCACACAGCCGCCATTTTGTTTTTTTCAGTTATTATTTTTTTTCTAAAGAATGGTTAAAGATACGAAATGGAAACTTTGCACAAACATTTATGACAAGTAGACAAAACTACAAAAAAATTATGACGATTTTTCAAATTCATAAAACAAAATGGCGGCCATTTAAAATTTTATTTCTTAAATAACTCAAAAACCATTGATTTTACAAAAATGTTAAATGGCCGCCATTTTGTTTTATGAATTTGAAAAATCGTTAAAATTTTTTTGTAGCTTTGTCTAGCTGTCATAAATGTTTGTGCAAAGTTTCCATTTCGTATCTTTAACCATTCTTTAGAAAAAAAAAATAATAACTGAAAAAAACAAAATGGTGGCTGTGTGAGTAACTAAGGACTTCCGGACAGTTTAAATATAATATTTAGTTATGTTTCTTACCCAGGAGCAATGCCCTAAAATATTGGTAGAGAGTTCCGGGACACCCTGTATAAACCAGCAGTCACCAATTGAAACAAATAAAACATAGTTGTAGAATGCGCTAGTGACCAAAATTCCATTTCGTACATTATATTTGGTTGCTGACATGGTTGATGGGTCATAACAGTTACTATAGCTCACAATAAGTCATTTCACAGGTTTGACTTGGTAGAAAAATTCTTGTATTAAACAGAAATCAGTAATTAAGATCAGCGCAATCAGTCTGTGGATCACATCAACTAACTATACTGGCAAAAACTTTAATATGAAAAACTAAAAAAAAATTCATTAAGTTTTTGAACTACCTTAGAAAAGTGTGTATTAAGAATATATATAAGCTTAAAAGACAATTTTAGTATTGGGAGGGTTAGTTCAAAGTACTGCACCATCAAAGAAAACAGTAAAGAATTCTTATTTTCGTTTGCTTTCTATAGACCTTACATATTTTACAAAAAGAGTTCTTTTCCTTCTGATCGCATCTTTTTGTTAACTTATTGGTTTCTATATCAATGTTCAATTCTAAAATGTAAAATTTAACACTTAAACTAAATCTTCCATTTATTGTAATAATGTAAAGGGTAAATTAATTGTAGTTCAAACATATTTTCGTTCTTACATTTTATACTGAACTTAATTAGGATATCTACAAACAATATACCTGATATACCTACATTAAATACAAATATTTTTGGAATTGTTTGTTAGCACTGTGGCAGCAACACTTTTTTTAGTTTGTAGTTCACAAGATTATAATATTGGAATTTTGTAATTGGAAGTCTTTTTGTAAATGTTATCAGCTATTCTGCTATAAATAAATTTGATAATCATATTTACAATACAATAGTTTCAAGGAGTTGAGAGTAGTAACTGAATGCCTAGGAGTTTCTTGTTTATTTATATATCCTTGAAGGGTACTTGCATTACACCATTAATCTAAACGCTAAATCCAGGAGGAGTATACTACTTAGTTGATGGAATTTTAGTATCCATTATGAGGATGAAGGGCATTTTAATTTACACAGGTTCCACAATATTAATGTATGGAGTTTCTGATGACATCAAATCAAATCAAATATATTTATTTCCATTCGGTACAATAAAGTACAATAGGATAGGTCAGATTGCATTTTACAAATTGTCATGAAGCAAATTAATGTAGATGTGAATATAAAATTAAACTTAAATTATAAAATATAGAGAACAAAACAACTAAACAAACAATTTCTCCTTCAAGCTGGCCTGGAACATCAATAACAGATAAAATATAAAATAATTTCTGATAACATCATATCTTAATAAAAAAAAGAGAGGATTAGTTTTCAATAATAGTTTTAATGTGAAGAATAGTTATAGAGACTATTAATTAATAGAGTGTGGGATTTGTATTTAAGTGTTTAGAACGATCTAGAAAGCAATTTGGCAAGAAAAAAACTCATTAAGTGAATAAAGTGGGTTTATTAATAACCAGTTACAAAACTTTCTCTTAAATTGTTTGACATCATATTTTGAGATAAGGCCAATGAGTTTATTGTAAACCTTTGGAGCTACAACAACATGGCTGTTTATAGATTTTGAGAGCCTGTGGTAGTCAATGGAAGTATGATTTTTATTTCTAGTATTATATCTGTGTTCATGGAATTTTAGTATTTGTGTGTTATCTATTACATATACAGTTAAATCAAAGATATACAGATTAATAATAGTAGGAATTTTCATTGAAACAAAAAGAGGTTTACAATGTTCATCAAGTTCAGATTCAGCGATAACCCTAACGGCTCTTTTTTGGAGAATTAAGATTTCATCCACTCTATTGCAGTTACCCCATAGAATTAATCCATATTTGTAACATCTATATATTTAATACACAGTTGTAACACTGTTTTCTCAGTAATTACTGGACCGATCTACAAGATTTATGTCTCAAATTAAAGGGGATAGTGTGTAGATTTGCCGAACATCCTTAGAATTTACGTTTTTTCTAAGGGCTACGAGCTACAGCCCGTTAAAGGACGAGTCAATACAATTCTTATTGAAGAATATATAGAATATATAGAATACATAGTTTTATAAATTATTCGTCAGCTGTTTAATGTTTGTCAGACATTTGTTATTATTTTTATAACCTCACTTTCAGTATGCAATTATTAAACTTGGAGTTTATGTTTATAAACACACGATTTTGATAAAGGAAAGTGTATTCGTTAACTTATTTTTGAAATGTTATAGTTTTCCTTCAAAGTGATCTGAAGGAAAGTGGTAATTGAGTTTTAAGTTTGAGTATGGAATGTGAAATAATACCAATAGTAGGGAACGGAAACTTATTGTTTTGATCAATATAATTTATTCTCTACGGCCACCAGAATAATCATGGGGAAATCCGCTTGCAAGTTGTACATATAATTGCTAATGAGTGGGAAACATACAAACATTTTATAGTAGGTGACGAATCTTACTCAAGATCAGTGTTAGACGTTCAGTGGTACCAAACTTTACCTTCTCAAGATGGCGAGTACGCTGGGATACGTGGAACTACAGTATATCAGTGAATTTTTTTTCAAGTACACGGGGAAGTTGCTTGAGAAACTGTGACTTACGATTTCGGTTCTGGCGAAGAAGTATCTGACTTGATGTTTAATGGCAATGTTGACTCGGGTCATTATAGCGTTATAAAACTTTATCATTAACCCCAGGATGTGAAAAGTACAAAAAGAAAAAGAAAAGGTAATCATTAACCGGGCGTAAAGACATACAGAACGAAAAAAACATGTAGAGAACCATCAAACTAAAAAGGTAAAGAGCAGTGATGGTGTTAAATGTGCTCTGGAAGTCCCTTCTAAAAAATACCAATTTTTTTGAATTGGGGTCGTTAGATTGGATTTGTCAGTACTGCAAATCTATGAATTTTGAGTCAGAACAGACTAACTGGGACACAAATATTTTTTCCTTATGTTGTCACAAGGGGAAGGTCAAATGAACTCCTTATCAACATTTTGAGTTTATGGAAAATCTTATCAACAGCGACTATAAAAAAAGTATTAAGGGTCAAAAGAGACAAAAAACTATTTTGAGTAAAATATAATACAAATCTGCATTTGAAATGGCCAGTTCTAAGTCTCACTTGAATCAACATCTTTCTGGTAATGGTAGTCTACATAGTTTTAAAATCTACGACTCCTTTTCTATCAAATTGGACCGTTAATACCCTCTAACATTGAACAAAGTATTCCCAACTTTATATATACGACGTAAACACAGCTTTTACTCACAGTATGGGTCAAAGATTCGTGAAATGCGACCAACTGCTGATGCGTGATTTACATGTAGGCTAAGTGACTATCTTTATTCCATACAACAAATGTAATGAAAAAAATCTACGAATATAGGAATATACTTGAGCAAATGATCTAAATAGCATTTAAATAGCTGCTTATTAGGTTATCTATCAGCATTGCCCAATTCGTGTACTATTTATTTTTCAAATGAAACTCAAATTAATATAAAAGATTCATTTGGTTAAAATAATATATCGGGTTGATTAACATAAAATAGTTTATACAGGCAAACTATCAGTTCTATTTCATGTGAAAAATTAAACAACCCCTAAATAAAATACAAAGATAAACAGTATTTGTTAATTATTATTTCTTTTATTGCTGACAATATTCCCGTGGCGGAGCACGGGCGGTTAACTAGTCCTAAATACTGTAGCTTAATATCCTCAAAATGTGAATAGTTTCATGTTATAACTTGTACCATGCTTCTGCAGGATGAACCATATGTAATATCTAATTTACTCGGCTGTCATTGGAACTACGCTAAAAATATCAAACCACATTTTCTTTGGAGGAATGCTAAGATTGTGAGAAGGAAAATGTTATTTGTGACGTAAAAGTTGGCATTGTTTGCCTCAAGCTTGTTAGAAAGTGTAACAGAATATTACTTTAGAAGAATCAAACCGAAGCAAACATGAAACTTCCAAGAACCTGTGAAACTTATTATAACAATGGAACTTGATACATTTTTATATCGGTTCATTATACTTTCTTTTATTGTATGTCTGTTTATTTTTTAAACTTTTTACTAAATAGTTGTGCATTAACGTTGACCTTTAGATAATATCAAGCATCACTAATATTTTAATCAATATAGAGTCTTTTTATACATCTTTTTCACACAGTGTTATTACACTTGTTATATAATAATAGTGCAATTGAAGCGAAGTTATTAAGATGCTATTGTAGAAGATGTATTTTTGC